CAGAGCCTTGGGGGCATAGTGGCTGAAGGCACGGCCGCCGAGGGTGGAGCGGAGGACTCGGGAGACAAAGAGGAGGCCAGACCCGGAGGAACGAAGGCAACGGGTACTGTTGTGAAGAGAAAGGAGGTCAGAGAGGTCGGGGGCTGCAGAGGAGTGCAGGGATTTGAATACAAGGGTGAGGATCTTGAAATCGATCCTCTCTGAGACAGGAGGCAGTGCAGTCTGGGCAGGACTGGGGGGGTCGGGGAGTGGAGTTTGGTGTGGGTGAGAATGCGGGCGGCAGAGTTCTGAATTATTTTGATTTTGTGGATGGTAGTGGAGGGTTGGCCGTTTTTTTTTCAGTCCCATGACTCCCCCCACCCCCTTCCTCTCCCCACTCTGCTTATTGTCGGGGCGGGTGGGGGTGCAGGGGGGTGTGGAAGAGGAAGAGAAAGTGGCCACTTGTCTCTGGGATCCTCAGATCAAAACACAAGAGGTTTCGAAACTTTTGCAAACAGCTAAAAAAAAATACAATATATGATATATATATGTGCAACTTCCTTTGCCAGCTCATAAAATCACTTTCCTATCCCCCAAAACTCCCGCAAGTCTGCACTGCTGGGTGTGTGGCAATACGGAAAGACGGGGGCAGGAGGAGGTCATTCAGCCCAACAAGCCTGTTCCACCACAGGAGCCCTGAACATCCCCATTGCCCTCTTCCCCTTCCCCCATCTCACCACACACTCGTTCTCTGTCCTTCCGCCGCACCCATTCTCTCTTCCCCATAACCAAAACACTTACATTCAGCTCACAACACAGTCGTGTTTACAGTGTATCCTGTGAAGCCTTTTTTTAAGCAGTTCTGTTTTTATTAAAAAAAAGCTTCATTGCATGAGACAGATCAGGAGACCTTCAAGTTTTGCACAGTCAGCAGAGTAGAAAGATAGAATATAATAATAATAAACCTTGCATTTGATATAGCGCCTTATCACATCTTTGGGACGTCTCAAAGCGCTTCACTGAGTATGTAAAGTGAATTGACTGTATATTTTCTGGGTGAATGACAGCAGCCAATTGCATACAGCAGTGTCCTCGCAAACAGTCATGGATTGAGTGACCAATTTATTAATATTATTTTTGAAGGAATTATTACCCCTGGAAAAGCAATCCGCCAATCGACTAACAACCAGGTTCCTACTTACTGCTGGTAAACAGAAGTGTGTGTGTGTGTGTGTGTGGAGTAAGGAAACTCGCCCAACGTTTCGCCCTGATCTCACCGGGAATCGAACCCAAGTCACCCGCTTGTGGGGCGAGTGCTTTATGGAGAATATTGAGCCCAAGGTTAGGCCGGCTTTGAAACGGACGGATAGAGCACTGTATCTCAACAGCAACACTCACTAACCTGTGCCCCACATTCCCAGCCAAGCCACCACAATGCACACGAGGTTTCTGTTAAAACAAGAACGTTTATTGGGAAACGAGAGATGTCAAAAATGTTCACGAAACCACAGACTCCATTTCAAACCGGATTTCGGATTCCTTTATTACAGTAACAACTGTCAGTCTGTGCACAGCGCAGCAATGCCCTGCAAACATCCACAAAGTGAGGAACTAGACTTGTTTGTGGGGGAGAGAGAAAGAGAGATTGTCGGTTTGGACACCAAGAGAGAGAGAGAGAGAAACACCCTTCCTAGTTACTGGGTAGTTTTTCTTTGGTCAGCCGGGTGTCTGACACATGGGGAAACCCGTTGCTTAAAAGTCTCCAAACCCAACTGAGAATTCCATGCATCCCATCTGGACACAGAAATCCCAGAGATAGATTGTTGGAAAGGAATGCTCTCTCTCTCCCTCCCTGGAGGGATGCATCCTGCTGACCTAATTCCTGAAAGTAATAAGCACAGGTTGGCAAGAGCCAAGGCTTGGGGGGAGCCCAGAGTGTGCGTTGTCTAAAAAACAGCTGCCATTGATATCGCTGCTAGGACCACCCTATCTGTTAACAGAAGCTGAGTGGAAGGATTCCCTGAATAAGAAACTGGACACATTCACACGCACACACTCACCTCTCCCACCACCGAAACCCGATTGACATTTTAAAAATATTTCAGACCCATTGACAGACGCCGAGGGGTCTGTTCAGGCTCAGACTCATCGCAGTCGTCCAGGAAGAGAGCTCCTCGCACAGCCCCTCGCTCCGCCCCACCCTTGGCCGTTGGCTCTCCTCGGCTGGGGACAAAACAACAGGCCAGAGCGTTACCTTGGGGTTTAACGAGCACCTCCTCCTCCTCTCCCCACCCCACCTGCATGAATTCAAAGGCTGTGGGTTATGGCTATGGATCCATTCACATTGTCCAGACTGAGGTGGACAGATGTTTGTTAGGTCAGGGGATCAAGGGATACGGGGCAAAGGCAGGTAATTGGCCTTGAGGTATGGATCAGCCATGATCTTATAGAATGGCGGATCAGGCTCGAGGGGCTGAATGGCCTCCTCCTGTTCCTACAATAATAATACTTGCATTTGATATAGCGTCTTATCACGTCTCAAAGCGCTTCACAGAGTACACTGTAAAGTGTAATGACTGCGTGTTTTGTAGGCGAAACGTGGCTACCGATCGCGCACAGCGACGTCCCACACTGAGCTACACTTCACACAACACTGACCTCTCACCCAGGTGGAGTCTGAGCACCTTGTACAACTCGGCAGTGGACGGCAGTAGGTTCGCCCGGTCACATCGAGGTGGGGGGTTGGGGGTGCAGAATGGGGGGACAGGCACGGGCTCGGCACCCCCCCAGCTCAGCTTCGGGGGCTTTCCGGTGTGGGTTTGCACGTTCTCGTACCGAGGACCTTGAAATGCAAAGCAAAGTCACATCAACCATCCCAGCAAATAACAACAATAGTCCTTGCATTGCATATGTCGTTGAGACGTCTCAAAGCGCTTCACAGGATACACTGTAAACTGGAGTGACTGTGTGTTTGGTGGATGAAACACACCAATCGAGCACAGCCACGTCCCCACAAACCGATCGGGCGGGGTGGGGGGGGGAGGTGGGGTGTGTTGACAGTCCAGGGTTTTTTCAGGGGGAGGGGGTAACGAAGAGCTCACCGAGAGCAGACAATGGGGTTCGCAGTTTCCACTTTGGCGTCGCCTTTCGATCACGGCCTGGAGACTCGCTCAGAAACCGCTCCTTTATATACAGCGCTCTCTCCTCCTCGAACTGCTTCCTCTGGGGGAAAAACACACGCACACACGTACACAGCTCACTTACTCCCGAGAGAAAAAAAATAATATACTGGCCCTTCGTTAAAAGGCCGCATTTAATTCTTGCTTCCCTAAGTGACTGAACGTTTAAAATTCTGCACGAGGTTCGATAAACTAAACATCAACAGTGGTTGATGATAACTCCCTCCAAATCGATAAATAAATGTGGTCACTTCAACCCACGGCTGTGTGTGGGGCACTGCTGTGTGCAATTGGCTGCCGGGTTTCACCCACAAAATATACCGTCCACATTGTCCAGACTGAGGTGTATTAGATGGTTGTCAGGTCAGGGGATCGAGGGATACGGGGCAAAGGCGGGGAAGTGGAGTTGAGGAACAGATCAGCCATGATCCTATAGAATAGAATGGCGGAACAGGCTCGAGGGGCTGAATGGCCTCCTCCCGTTTCCTATGTTCCTAGTCCGCAACCCTCACCTCGTGACCCAGGCGAATCGCTGCCTCCGTGAAGGCCTCCCGCTCGGTCTCGAAGTTCCTCCGCTGCTCGTCAAACAGGATCCGCTCGCTGGCCAGTCTCTCCTGCTCCTCCAGCCCGTCCCCTCCCCAGGGCAGTGGCTCACTCCAGATCGCCAGCTGCTCCTGGCAACAACAACAACAACTTGCATTCGCATAGCGCCCCAGAGCGCTCGACAGTGGCGGGGCACGACACCAAGCCGAGGGGCTGGGGCGAGAGAGGGAGGAGGAGAGTTAAGCACGGTCAAATTGGAAGGTCTTCAGACGTGATCTGGGGAGGGAGGAAGGAAGGCAGAGGGAGGGAGGGACAGAGGGGGAGAGTGACAGAGTTGTGCGGCGGAGTGGCTGAAAGCGCTGCCGACATTGGTGGAAAGGAGGGACGGGCAGGAGGCCGGAGCCATCACTGCTCGTCTGTCTGCCCCTCCGTATTGAGCTCCAAGCCGCTCGCTCAGACCTGCAGGAGCTGCTGTTGGAAGCTGAGGATCTCCTGATCCCTCTCGACCTGTAGCCGGAGTTTAGCGATCTCCTTGTCGTGGTCGGTCGCGCTGAGAATCTCCCCCTCCCCCTCCCGTGGCTCCCGCAGGGCTGGAGGGGGGAGGAGAGACAGAGAGAGCGGGTGACACCAAGTGCAGGGCGGTGGTGACACACCCTCACGCTTCCCTGTTGTTCCCGAAATATGTTTCCCGCATCGTTCCGTGTTTCAAACCAAATTCCCCGGAATTCGTCCACACAACGTCACTGCAAATAGCGACTCCCCCCTGCCCCCCCCCCACCTTCCCCACCGGCAACAGGAAATGGGTCACGCTGATCGAACCGGCAGGAACAGGAAGCGCAGGTCGTGATCCACTTCCTGGGAGAGGATCGGTGAGACGCACTTCCTGTCACCAGTAGGTGGGGCTATCTGCAGTTCACGGTTTATCACTGACCAGGTGTAGCCTCCGCTTCCCAACTGAGCCCAAGCAATAATTCAACCGCCCCACACCACTTCCTGTTAGCCCCTTCCCCCACTAACCCCAACCCCTCCCCCACCTCCCTCACTAACAAAAGGAATACTTCCTGGTTCCCGCTACAAAATTGTCCTTAAATATCGCCCCCACCCTCCAACGCCACCCAGAACATCGCAGGATAAAGTACTTCCCCACACTTTTACATCATCGCTCAAATTGTTTGGGTGGGGGAGCGTTGGGAGTTAAGGTCTTGGAGAGACTTTTTTTTTGGGGGGGGGGCGGAGTGGGGCGGCGGGGGGATAAAGGAGAAGGAGGATCACCTGCGTCTCGCAGCCTCTCCACCCAATCCCTGAAACATTCCCATCGCTTCCACAGCCCCCCCGTCAGACCAGCAGCTGCACTTCCCCGGCCGTCCGCCACCGCTTTCTCCTCCTGCGTCTCAACCAACAAAAAACACAACGTCGACAACAACAACAATTAACAATCAGACGCCAATTAATTCCCCGAAGGGGGATTTCCCCCTCCCCCCCGCCCACTGGAGCGACTCACTCACGGGCGGGGGGTACGGGGAGTGGGGGGGCAGCTTCTCAGGGCTGAGCAGGTTGTCCACGTCGGCCCCAATCCTTTCCAACACGTTCCTCAGGTGAAGTGTCTCAGCCGCTAACTCCTTCATCTGAGCCTCGTACTGACCGGACAGAGCTCGGAACATCTCCTCCTCTCGCCTGCAGGGGGCGGCAGTGGGGGGGGGGGGGGGGCAGAGGCGCCGTCAACAACAACAACGTGCATTTACACAGCGCCCTTCACGTCACACGGGATAGCGTCCCGGAGCACGTCAACACATACACACACACCCGCACACACCATCCCCACACGCCCCCCCACATGCCCTCCCTTCTCTTTTCGAATAGGGCCGCGGGATAGTCAACATCCACCTGAACAGGACACAGACGGGGATTGAGGTTTAACCTCCAGCGCTGCATTGGAGCGTTAGCCTCGACTGTGTGATTACAAGTCCTGGCGTTGGGGGCTTGAACCCACAAACTCCTGACTGGGAGGCAAGGGAGAGCACTACCGCCCGAGCCAGGCTTCCCCCAACGCAGGGCAGGAATCAGCTCTCACTCTCCTCTCCGGGGTCAGGAGGTTGTGGGATCAAATCTGGGACAGAGGGGTAGATAGCTGTAACCCGGGGACGTGGTGTGGCGGGGGGGGGGGGGGTTGTGGGATGGGGGAACGTTGTAGATGTCTCGGAATCCCACAAATAGCATTTGTGACCTTCACAGCTCAGACCTTGGGGGCGCGGAGATTACTGAGACTCCGCACCCGGTCAACTGTGTCTAATCTACTCCCGCAAGTGGATTCATTTAGTCTACGCTGAGAGCAAACAGCGCTGAAGGTTTCCTACATCACACGGAGAGAGAGACACACAGACGGAGAGACAGACAAATAATAATCCTGGCGCCTCATCACGTCGTTGAGACGTCTCAAAGTGCTTCCCAGGATACACTGTAAAGTGTAGTGACTGTGCGTTTAACGAGTAACGTCTCTCTACCTGGACTTGGTTCTCCCCGTCCTCCACAAAGCTCGCTTCCCGTCCAGCCGGCCAACCGGGTTCAGGAGATCGAGAGCTTGAAAAAAAACACACACACAGCGTCAGGTCGAGTGGGCAGAACCTGACCCTGGAAAAACAACAACAACTTACATTTACACGGCAACTGCCTCTCATGTCGGGAGGACGTCCCAAGGCACTGGATGGACAGTCAGAGATTTGGACCTGAGCTGGGATTGGGTTCAGGAGGTGGTGAAGGGTGGGGGTAGGAGGGTGACCAAAGGCTTGGCCAAAGAGGAGGATCTTGAGACATGCCTTGATGGAAGGAGGCGAGAAAGGGTGGGACGGGGGGTGAGATGGAGGGACTATGGGATGAAGTTCCAAAGGGTGGGGGCAGAGAGGCTGAAGGCCCGACCGTCAATGGTGTGGTGGGCCGGGCGGGCGGAGATTACCGATCTTTCGCTCTACTTTCTCCATCAGCCTCTCCTTCAGGCGGTTCAGCTCCTGCTCTTTCCTCCTCAGCTCAAGGGCGTGTTGAGCAGCTCGGCTCATCATCACACCCTGGAGCCTCGTCACCTACAGCGAGAAGGGAACCGTCAGTTTAGAGAGACCCTCGGCGGGTTCCAACGTCTTGCTCCCTCCTCCCTACCTCCGTTGGCTTCAGTGGAAAAAAAATGGCCGACATTGGCAACTGGGAAGGAAGAGACGACTTGGGGGGGGGGGCTAAGATTTGTCGCTCTCACCTCGTCTCTGCTGCTCTCCAGCTTCTCAGTCAGCTGCACAAAGTTATTCTGCTTCGCTCGCTCCTTGTCTCTCAGTTCAGTGATCTCCCGCTCGCGAGCAAACACCTGCTCCTAGAGAGAGAGGGAGAGAAAGGAGAAAAGAGGGGGAGAGAGGGAGTGGGGGGAGAGAGAGAGAGAGAGAGAGGAAAGAAAGAGTGTCTGCGGCTGCGCTTTCAGCCACTACACCCCAAAGCTTTGGAACTCTCTCCCTCTGTCCCTCCCTCTGCCTCGACCCCCTCCTTCGTTCCCATCTTCAGGTCGCGCCTGAAGACCTTCCTCTTTGACGGCGCCTGTGGTCACCTGCCCCCCTCCCCCTCGGTGTCGCGCTCCACCAACGTCAAGCGCTCTGAGACGCTATCCGGCGTGAGTGAGTGAGTGATTTGAGACGCTGTGTAAGTGAATGTTGTCGTCGTCGGTGCTCACTCACTCCCCAAACTCTCTCACAAAACCTACCTGCAGTTTGGAGCTGTCGCTGTGGGGGCCCGGCTGAGAGCGGGGGGCCGGGGGGCCGGGTGGCGGTGCCTCCCGGTGGAGGAGTAACAGGCTGTGAGCCCCGTTTATCAGGGCGACCAGGTCGAAGCTCAGAGCCGGTGCTGCCTCCGAGAATCTGTCCTCGTACAGCAGGGGCAGCCCGCGGGCCCCAAACTCCTGCAAGACCAATGCTCCCCCACATTCATGTCAAATCCCTTCCCTCCCTGGCACCTCCCCTCCCTCCCTTCCTCCTCCCTCCCTCCCTCCCTCCCTCCCTCTCCACTCAGCTGGCTCCAGCCTCCTGCTTGTCGCTTGTGCTTTCAGCCACTACGCCCCGAAACTCCGAGACTCTCTTCACTCTCAATCAATAACGATCATCCTGCCACGTGACCCGGCGCCTCATCATGTCTTCGAGACGTCTCAAAGTGGTTCACGGGAGACACTGAGAAGTGTGGTGACTGTGTATTTTGTGGGTGAAACACAGCAGCCAATTGCGCCCAGCGACGTCCCCACAATTGACCGAATATTATTATTTGTTTTTTTAAGGTGCACCTGAAGACCTCACTCTTCGACTGTTACTTCCTTCAGAAGCTCCCTCTACACTGTGTGTCCACACCCCCAGGTCAGGGTTAGAGACACAGTAAAGCTCCTCTACACTGTGTGTCCACACCCCCAGGTCAGGGTTAGAGACACAGTAAAGCTCCTCTACACTGTGTGTCCACACCCCCAGGTCAGGGTTAGAGACACAGTAAAGCTCCTCTACACTGTGTGTCCACACCCCCAGGTCAGGGTTACAGACACAGTAAAGCTCCTCTACACTGTGTGTCCACACCCCCAGGTCAGGGTTAGAGACACAGTAAAGCTCTCCACACTGTGTGTCCACACTCCCAGGTCAGGGTTACAGACACAGTAACGCTCCTCTACACTGTGCGTCCACACTCCCAGGTCAGGGTTACAGACACAGTAACACTACTCTACACTGTGTGTCCACACTCCCAGGTCAGGGATACAGACAGAGTGATGCTCCCTCTGCACTATCTGTCCAGACAAGCCTGGGTGGTGGTGAAATATGTTCCGAGGTAAGAAATTAACCACAATTCACAGAATTGCAGAAAGTAAAAGCAGAATAAAAAGAAGAAATAACCCGGTTAGATGGCAGCGAGGATCAGGACCCTGACAGTTTCCCTGTGACCTTCAGCCTCTATGCCCCAACCGACGGACACCTCCCCCTCCCTCGCCCCAGCCCGGAGTCATGCTCCGCCACTGTCAAGCGCCCTGGGTCGCTGCCCTGAGAGAGTGAGGGGCACTGTATAAATGATCCTATCACTTGTGAGGCGAGTGCTGCTGCAACAACTGCACTCCAGGACTCTGTAACGTGCTCACAACCCCAGCCCCGCACCAGAGAGTCAGCCTGGACTGTCAGCGCATCACAGACCTCTGATCGTGCGACCCAGAGGTGAGTGCGAGCGGCCGGAGGTTTCTCGTAGGTTCTCACCTTGTTGAGGAGTGAGAGGCAATCCTCAATGTTGTCACTGCAGCAGAAGTCAAGGGGATGGAAGAGCTTTGCCTTGGACAGGACGGGCGAGCAGTGCAGGGTCAGGCTACTGCAGCTGGAGGAAGGGGACGGGTACCGTGACATGTGCCGGCAGGCAAAATACTTGGCATCTGTGGAGAAAGAATTTACCAGAATGGTTGCAAGGGATGAGGGACTTTAGTTCCGTGGAGAGACAAGACTAAAGAAGCTGGGTTGTTCTCCTTAGAGCAGTGAAGGTTAAAGGGAGATGTAATAGAGGTGTTCAAAATTACGAGGGGTTTTTGGTCGAGTGGTTAGGGAGAAGCTGTTTCTGCGAGCAGGTGAGTCGGTAACCAGGGGACATTGACTCAAGATAATTGGAAAAAGAACCCGAGGGAAGACGAGGAGACTTTTTATTTTACACAAAGAGTTGTTATGGTCTGGAATGCACTGCCTGAAAGGGTCGGTGGAGACAGATTCAATAACAACTTTCAAAAGGGAATTGGATAGGTACTCGAAGAGGAAAAACCTGCAGGAATATGGAGGAAAGACAGCAGCGGAGTGGGACTGATGGGATAACTCTTCCAAAGACGCAGCACAGCACAGGCACGATGGGCCGAATGGCCTCCTTCTGTGCTGTAATATTCCATGATTCTATTCCATTATTTATCAAACACATTGTCTAACATTATTGTGACCATTAATAATGTGTTAACTTAAATTAACACGACTGCCCCTACATTCAGGGACAGTGGCCCACAGACGAGCGCACAACAACAACTTGCATTTATATAGCGCCCATCGCGCAGGGTAGCGCCCCAGAGCCCTTAACGTCCACTCACCTGGTGATGCGTCCATTCCCCAGTCTCCCATCCTTAAAGCCACCAAATGAAACCTGTTTAACAATACCACAAAATCACATTTCTCTCAACACCTTTGACGTCGGGAGGACAGACAGAGTCACCGACAACGGTCTAAAGTCCTTACACCAGAGACAAAGAATGATTGTGAGGCTGTTTGGGAGGTGTTATTATTATTATTAGTATTGTAATCCCGGCATTCGATACAGCGCTCTTCACGTCTTCTCGACATCTCGAAGCGCTTCACAGAATAGACGGTAACGTGGAACTGACTGTATATTTGTGGGCGAACGCGGCGGCCGATTGCGCACCACAGTGAGTGTCCCACACACTGTATCAAATGCCAGGATTATTATTTATCATTAACTTAGTTAAATTGACTAAGTGAGTGTTGACCTGAACCCAGAGACCGCCTCCCGCTGTCCGCCTCTCCCTGAGCGGTGCGCAGCCCCGGGGCGGACTTTTAAATCTCCCGCCACAGCGACGCGCCGCCGCGATTGGTCAGACGGGTGGGGCCGCCGGGTTCGCAGGGCCCGCTGGGAATTGTAGTTCGCGCGGGGGCCGCCGGGAGCCAACAGCCCGGCCATGGTCGTGTCACAGCGCCACCCAGTGGCGAGAGGTGCGCACGGCACAGCACAGCGCAGCCACAGGGCAATGCCCAGGCACTGGGCACAGCTGCGGAGGGCTTCACAAATTACTAATCGCCCACTTCTGTTGGGGAGCAACAAAACCAAGTGATTCATTCCCACCAGTGGTTTGCCGGCGTCCGCAACGGAGCAGGAGGGGGCCACGCAGCCCCTCGAGCCTGTTCCGCCATTCTATTCCGTAAGATCACGGCTGCTCTGTACCTCAACTCCAATCACCCGCCCCCCACCCCCCACTCGCCCGGTATCGCTTAGTACCCTGACCAAACCAATACCTATCCACCTCGGTCTTGAGGATGCATAATGGATCCACCGAACGGAACCGGATAAGCCAAAATATTATGTGGAGATTCCCCCCCCACCCGAGCGTAGTGGTTAGAGGGCTCACCTCGCAAGCGAGAGGACCCGGGTTTGAATCCCGGGCGGGTCAGGGCGAAGCCTTAGGCAAGTTTCCTTTCTCCACACACACACGCACACACACATGCCTCTGGTTACCTGGCAGTAAGTAGGAACCCGGTGGTTAGTCGGTTGGCGGATCGCTTTTCGATCGGTATTAATCCCTTTCGAAAAAAATAATAATTTCTTCACTGGGCTTGCATCACAGTGGAATGCCACAACAGTTGGGAAACATAAACAAAAAAGGTTAATGCAATTTGCAGACAGCAGTGTGCCACAAACAGCCATGGAGTGAGCGAGTGGTTTTACTTGGGGGATTGTTGGCCAGGACACCGAGAGAGAGAGAGAGAGAGAGAAACTCCCTTCTGTTTTCGAACAGCCCCGCGGGAGATCTTTAAGGTCCACCTGAACAGGAAGAGACGGGGAGTGAGATTTAACGTCTCCGACAAGCTTCGTGGTAAGTGACAAGTTAAGGCAAGGATCGAGTTATAATAATAATAATAATCCTGGCATTTGATACAGTGCCTTATCACATCGTCGAGATGTCTCAAAGCGCTTCACAGGATACACTGTAAAGTGAATTGACTGTGTATTTTGTGGGTGAAACGCCGATTGGAGCACAGCGACGTCCCCACAAACCTCGTGGGTTGAGTGACCAGATTATTATTATTATTATTATTTGAGGGATTATTTAGAGTTTACAGGACATCGGAATCAGTGGCTACAACCTGGAGAAACCTTTATTAGACACGAGGAACGATGCAGCTACAGAGGTCGAGGGAGCGGAGGATTCAAGGCTCCGGAGAAGCTGACGTGGAGCTGTCTTTATGGACTAATTCAGGCTCGTCCTCTCCATCCTGCGGAGGGTGAACCAACACCCGGTCGATGATCCCAAAATCCAGAGCCTCCACTGGGCTCATATAACGATCGCGCTCCATCGCCCCCTCTGTAATGCACAACACAGCCATCACTGCTCTCTGTCCGGCTCAGGCACTCGCACTCCCGCCTCCGGGGGGAGGAAGGTTGTGGGTTCAAGCCTCCTTCTCCCAACCCCCCACATCCCAACTCCCTCCGCAACCCCCCTGCCCCCGCCTCGCCCCCACAGAATATGCTGTAAAGTGTAAAGACTGTACATTTTGTGGTGGAAACGCAGCAGCCAATTGCGCAGCAGTGTCCCCACAAACAGACCTGGATTGAGTGACCGATTTATTATTATTATATTTTAAAGAAATTATTACCCCCGGAACAGCCATCCGCCAATCGACTAACAACAGGGTTCCTACTTACTGTTAGTAAACTGTGTGTGTGTGTGTTTGTGTGGGTGAAGTAAGGAACGTTTCGCCCCGACCTGACCCGCCCGGGAATCGAACCCAGGTCCTCTCGCTTGCGAGGCGAAGGCTCTAACCACTGAGCTCATGTCAGGTGCAATCCTACACCAACATTGACTCACCCAGCACTTCCAGGGGTTGTTTGGTGTGCTTGGCATAGATGATGTTGACTTGTCTCTTGATCTTCAGGATCTCCTCCGCCTGAATCGCAATGTCAGTAGCTTGACCCTGCAAACAACAACAACACATGACATTTACACGGCGCCTTTCACATCAGGAGGAAGTCTCAAAGCGCTGTACAGTCAGGGATCCGCACCCAAGCTGGTGGTTGGCATCAGGAGATGGTGGAGGGCGGGGAGGGTAGGGGCAGGAGGGTGACTGAATGTCTTGAGGAGGCGAGGGAGGGAGGGAGCGAGGCGGAGGGGACTGAGGGATGAACCAAACACATCGACCAGTTCGCTCTCCACCCTCCGGCTGTTGACATCTTCCCTCACGTCACTTCTAAACGATTCGTAAGTTACTAAAACACTGAATCAGGCCTTCGGTCATCACCCTCCCCCACCGCCATCCTTGCCCTCAACCCCTCTTGACTCCAGCCTCAAGCTCGGGTGCAAACCCTTCACTGTCCAACACCTTGGGACGTCCTCCCAAGCTCGGACTTCTGATTCCCCCTCTCCCGTATAAATGCAATTTGTTGTTAATAATAATAATCCTGGTGTTTGACCCGGCGCCTTATCACGTCGTCGAGACATCTCAAAGTGCTTCACAGCATACACTGTGAAGGTGTAGTGCCTATGTATTTTGTGGGCGGAACGCGGCAGCCTATTGCGCCCGGCAGTGTTACTTGCTTTCCTTTAAGTCTGACTTAGTTGCTTCCCTTTAAGACTGACTCATCCCACCCCCAGCTCCAGCCCAGCCCACAGTCTCTCCCATCACCCACCCGCCCACCCCCACCATCCCCAGGGCAGTGAATACTCACCCGAGTGCCCCCCGATGGCTGGTGGATCATTATACGGGCGTTAGGCAGGGAATGCCTCGTGCCAGGGGAGCCCGCAGCCAACAGCAGGGACCCCATACTCGCGGCCTGACCCACACACCAGGTGGAGATGGGGTTCAGGATGTACTGCATGGTGTCGTAGATGGCCAGGCCAGCTGTCACCACCCCTCCTGCGGGCACAGAGAAACACAGGAACATAAGAACCTGCAGTCCTGTAGCTCAGTGGTTAGAGCGCGTCAAAAATAAATAAATAAATAATAATAATAATAAATTGGTCACTTCAATCCAGGACTGTTTATGGGACGTCAATTGGCTGCCGCGTTTCGCCCACAACATACACAGTCACTACACACACACACACACACACACACAGACAGTACACTTTACAGTGTATCCTGTGAAGCGCTTTGAGACATCTCGAAGACCCGATGATAAGGTCCAGTGCCCAAATTATTAAGGATCCATTATTATTAGTGAATTTGTGAGACCAAAGAGGTCCATCCAGTTTCTCCTTCCGCCCATCTTGGCAGTCGCTTGCGCATGTTGCGTCCCCCAAACTATACACTGTATCCCCCCCCGACAGGTATTATTTCCCAACAGAAATCGATCCCATTTGTGCTTGAAAGAATCAACGCTTTCTGCTTCCCCCGTCCGTCCGTCCGTCGTCCCCCCTCCCTCCCTCCCTACCTCCCTCGGGAGCCTGTTCCACAGGTTTTCCCGCTCGCTCACTGAAATCCGCTTGTCCTCTGGTGCTACTGCTGTGAGGTCCTGTAGAGTACTGGTTAGCTCGCCTCGCAAACGAACGAGAGCACCCGGGTTCAATTCCCGGGGCACGGGTTGGGGACTTGGGCGGGGGGGCGGAGGGGGGGGAAGCGTCTAACAAGCTCAGCTCCCAACTGGACCTCAACAACCTCACTGCCCGCCCGACCCACCTGGGCTGTTGATGTACATGTGGATGGGTTTCTTGTTACTTTCTGACTGGAGGAACAGCAGCTGAGCGATCACCAGACTAGCCACGGAGTCGTCGATCTGCAATTAAAAATCCCCACCGGAATATTACTGAGGGTTTTAAAGGGATGTGGCTCGACTGCTCTTCGGTCTTGACGTGATCCAAATTGGAACAGATCAAAGAGGAAGGTCTTCGGGCGCGACCTGAAGACGGGGAAGAAAGGGGACGAGGCGCACAGTGGGGGGGGGTTATTGAGGCAGAGTGTTCCAGGGTTTTGGGGGAGGGTAGCGGCTGAAAGCGCGGCCTCCGACGGTGGAACGGAAGGCCACGAGGGACGAGCAGGAGGCCGGAGCCAGTCGAGCGGAGATAACGGGCGTCCACAAATTTCAGATGATCCAGAACTCGGCAGCTCTGCTCCTCTCAAGCCACCAGGCTCCGTGCATGACCCTATCGCCCCCATCCTGGCCTGGCTGGTCCCCCCACCCCCCCCCCGAGGACGGAGTTCAAGATCCTTGTCCTCTTTTAAAGCAAGATCTTTAACATCCAGACCGGGAGCTCGGATGAACATCTCATCTCAAGGACAGTGTCTCTCTGATGATGCAACACTCCCCCCAGCGCTGCATTGGAGAGTCAGCTTAGACCATGTGATTCCAAGTCACGACGTGGGGGATTGAACCCACAACCTTCCGACTCAGAGGCGAAAGAGAGAGAGAGAGAGAGAGCGAGAGATCGCTAGCACTGAGCCAGACGTAGAACGTGTTAACAGGGAAGTCTTAACAGCCACTTACTGGTCCCATGACACATATAATCCGCTCCCTCAGCAGTCTGGAGTAGATGTCATACGCTCGCTCACCTCGACCCTGACAAGAAAATTATTTACAGGTTAATTAAATTCACCTTCAGTCGGGGGGGAGAACAGTGAGTGAATTGTTCACAAGGATTCCCACCGCGATTCAATCGCACACAACACTCCAATTTAGCAATAATAATAATAATAATAATCCCGGCATTTGATACGGCGCCCTATCACGTCGAGACGTCTCAAAGCGCTTCACAGGACACACTGTAAAGTGTAGTGACTGTGTATTTTGTGGGCGAAATGAGGCAGCCACTTGCGCACAGCAGCGTCCCCACAAACAGCCGGGGATTGAAGTGACCGATTTATTTATTAAACTTGAAGGGATTATTACCCCTGGGAATGCGATCCGCCAATCCCACTAACAACCGGGTTCCTACTGACTGATAGGTAAACAGAGGCGTGTGTGGGCAAGGAATCTTGACCAACATTTCGCCCTGACCTGACCCACCCGGGAATCGAACCCGGCTCCTCTCACTTGTGTGAGGCGAGCGCTCTAACCACTGAGCTACAGGACTCCACGTGTACTATAAAGCTATAAAGTCAAACAAAAACAGAAGTGGCCGGGAACGCTCAGCGGGTCAGGCGGCATCCATGGAGAGAGGAAAGTGAGTCGACGTTTCGTGCAGCAATGCTGCCTGAGCCGCTGAGCGTTCCCAACCACTTCTGTCTTCGTTTCAGATTTCCAGCATCTGCAGTATTTTGTGTTTCGTATATACTATAAAGTGAATTGACTGTATGTTTTGTGGCCGAACGCGGCAGACGATTGCGCACAGCAGCGTCCGCACAAACAGTGACGACGTTTTGATGTGGGGGATTGTTAAGCCAAGACACCGGGAGACAGAGAGAGAGAGAGAGAGAGAAACTCCCTTCTCTTTTCGAACATTATTATTATTATTATTATTATTATTATTACTTACCGTCTGCTCGATGACAATGGGGATGAGAGGGAGGCAGTGTCCTGGGGTCTGGTGGAAGCCCCTGCAGACGCTCACGAGCCGCGCTGACTGGTTCACAAACGTCTGAGATAAAAAGGCACAAAAAATTGGATTAATCTTCTTGTCCCAGGAAACCAGGAGAGAGAGAGAGAGAGAGAGAGAGAGAAAAGGAGGGAGAGAGAGAGGGAGCAACTCCCTACCCCCAGCGTTTTGCTATTAAAAAAATTATAATGTTGTCCCTCAAACCTGCGCCGTTTGTGGGGACGTCGTTGGGGCGCAATTGGCCGCCGCGTTGCGTCCACAAAACACACAGTCACTACACTGTACAGCGTATCCCGTGAAGCGCTTTGAGACGTCTCGGCGACGCGATAAGGAGTCGGGACAAATGCCGGGATTATTGCTATTATCATCGCCGCCCCATCCCTCCCCGGGAGCCGTCACCCAGCGGATCGCGCTCGAGATCCTCGCACTCGTTTCCAACCCCCACACACGCCCTTGCGCCCCCCTCCCCCCACCCCCACCCCCACTCCCTCTCTTCCCACCCCCCCCCCACCCACCACCACTCTCTCCGACCCGCTCACTCCCTCCACCCCACCCCACCACCCGCTGCCTCCTGTTTGTCCCCTCGCCCCAAAACTCTGGAACTCTCGCCCTCTCCCCCCCCACTTTCAGCTGAGCCCCCCCCTGAGTGACAGCTGAGCCCCCCCCGGAGTGACAGCTGAGCCCCCCCCGGAGTGACAGCTGAGCCCCCCCGGAGTGACAGCTGAGCCCCCCCGGAGTGACAGCTGAGCCCCCCCCCCCGGAGTGACAGCTGAGCCCCCCCTGAGTGACAGCTGAGCCCCCCCCTGAGTGACAGCTGAGCCCCCCCCGGAGTGACAGCTGAGCCCCCCCGGAGTGACAGCTGAGCCCCCCCCCCGGAGTGACAGCTGAGCCCCCCCCCCCGGAGTGACAGCTGAGCCCCCCCTGAGTGACAGCTGAGCCCCCCCCGGAGTGACAGCTGAGCCCCCCCGGAGTGACAGCTGAGCCCCCCCCCCCGGAGTGACAGCTGAGCCCCCCCCGGAGTGACAGCTGAGCCCCCCCCGGAGTGACAGCTGAGCCCCCCCCCCCCCCCCTGAGTGACAGCCTCTCGTGTTCCTCACCTTCACTCTGATCAACATGTTGCCATCTGTGACCTCAACCCGGAAGTAGTTCTGCTTCGTTACATTTCCGGCGTGACGTCATGCCAGAAGCGGCGTCCCCTTTCACCATAGCAACCTTAAAGGGGAATCACAGAATTTACACAAAGCCTTTCAAACCAGCCCCCACCCCACCCCCCCCACCACACTCCCCCCCAACACACTCCCCCCCACCACACCCCCCCCCACCACACCCCCCCCCACCACACTCCCCCCCACCACACTCCCCCCCGCCACACTCCCCCCCACCACTCCCCCCACCACACCCCCCCCCCACACTCCCCCCCCACCACACTCCCCCCCCACCACCAGGCTCACCCCCCACCACACTCCCCCCACCCCACTCCCCCCACCCCACTCCCCCCCACCCCACCCCCCACACTCCCCCCACCACCCCCCCCCACCACACTCCCCCCCCCACACTCCCCCCCACCACACCCCCCCACCACACTCCCCCCACCACACCCCCCCCACCACACTCCCCCCACCACACCCCCCCCACCACACTCCCCACTCCCCACCACACTCCCCCCCCACCACCAGGCTCACCCCCCACCACCAGGCTCACCCCCCACCACACTCCCCCCACCACACTCCCCCTCCCCACCACCCACCAGGAGTTTTAATGAACTGGATAAACTGCCCAGAATTATTATTAATGTTGGTTGTAAATAATATACAAAATTTCCCGCACAAAACACACAGTCACTACACCTTAGTGTATCCCGCGAAGCGCTTTTGAGACGTCTCGAAGACACGATAAGGCGCCGTGTCAACCGCAAGGATTATCATTACTATTAATATTAATGTTTATTCCTGTCAAACTGCCCCCAAAACCCACTTATTTCCCCCCTGTAAATATTACCAGGTTTCGGGGCAACCGGAAACTGTCCAGAGATGGGAAACCTGCCAGTGTGTGTGCGTGTGTGTGTGTGTGTGTGCGGTGGGTGGGGGGGGGTTTGGTTATGAAATAAATTATTTTTTTGAAACGTTTGGTTTCTGACCCGCTGCCTGGCTTGACCCCTATTTGGGTGTGAGCATGGAATCAGGAGGAGGCCATTCAGCCCCTTGAGCCTGTTCCACCAGTCTGTCAGGCTGATCTGTACCTCAATTACGATTACCCGCCTTTGCCCCATATCCCTTGATCCCCCGACCTAACAAACATCTGTCCACCTCGGTCTTGAAAATTTTGATTGGATTCAGCCGTGACCCACAGCCTTTTGGGCAGAGAGACAGATCTGACCCGAGCTCGGAAGCGACGGAACCCACGACACAACCCGACAGAGTCACTACGTTCGAGCAGAAGTTTTATTTGAAATTCACAAAAAAATGGAGGAAGGAAAGAGTAACGAAACACTTTCTCCCTCAGCAACAGCCGCCCCGCACGAGCTCACGAACCAACACGCAACAATTCGGAATATCCCCCCATCGGCACCCGGGATTCTGCGAACAACCATCTCACAGTCACAACTTTAGTGGACAGGTCTAGGGGAGGGGGCGGGGGGGGGCAGGTCGAGGATGGGGGGGCAGGTCGAGGATGCAGGGTGGGGAGAGCGATGGAGGAACAGGGGTCTTGATGTAGACGAGAATCAAGAAGGATAGACTTCCTGGAGTCCCATTCCCTTCTATCTTGAAAGACCAAACACCACTTAGTGTTCAAACATAAAATAAACCAGTCCCCTGCCCCCCCTCCACCCCCCACCCCCAAAAAAAGAAATGGTTAACAAACAGGGGTCTGGATGTTTGGGGGGCAAGGAGTCAGCAAACCTCGGCACTGAGACTGTGACTGGTTCCCCGGGAGCCAGGGGTACACACGCAGGGAAAGGAACGACCACAACGGGTCTGACATCCTACGTCAGGGTGGTTCAACTTCCGGCCCGCGGGCCACATCCGGCCCCCGGGAGATGATGTGATGATCAAACACAGGCAAAAATCAGGAGACAGTCACTGGGGGGGGGACGGGGACAACAGGACTGGCCGATCAGGATAAAATATTGCTTATGCGGCCTGCGGACCTTTCTCAAATCCGTCCTCCGGCCCTCAGCAGGACACCCCCCACTCTCCCCCCGAGCCCGGGGCCACGTAGACGTTTTAAGACTCCAAACAACAACTTATTTTTAATATATAATAATAATAAAAAAAACACAACCCCGCCCCCCTCCCCCCCCCCCCCCCCCGCCTGGGTACGGCCTTTAAGGCTGTGAAGGAATGAAGGAAAGAGAGATCCGATGAAGAGGTAGCTTTTTTTTAAAAAAAACAGGGAAACAAGGAAACAAACAACCTTACGTGTCAGTCAGTGCGAAAATCAAGAGGTGCTGAGTGTCTCCTCGTTCCTCAACTCTCTCCTTAGTTGTCACTGGTCCTCTCGAGTGACCCCCCCCGCCTCCCGCCCCCCACCAACCACCCCACCCCGTTCCCTCCCCCACCCCGACGAACCCGGGCTACAGAACAATCCACATACTCCGTCCGATGTCCGTCAGTCGCTTCAGTGACCGGCCTGCAATAAACAGGAGGGGAATGGTTACCAGGGGCTTGTCCAGCTCCGCCCTACCCTCACCTACCCAGCCCCCACTCCCCACCCAGCCCAGGCCCCCCACAACCCCCAACCAAGCCCTGCCCTCCCCCAGCCCTCCCCTCACCTACCCAGCCCCCACTCCCCACCCAGCCCAGGCCCCCCACAACCCCCAACCAAGCCCTGCCCTCCCCCCAGCCCTCCCCTCCCTTTGATATCCTCGCATTTGACACAGTGCCTTATCAGGGGAGGTGGGGACGTAGTGTGCGGGTAATAATAATAATAATCCTTGCATTTGATAACAGCTCCTTATCACGTCTCACGAGAGTGTGTGTGTCTGTCTGTCTGTCTGTCTGTCAGTATTGAGTGATCACGGTTCCCCCTAACCCTAACCCTAACCCTAAGTATCCTGCCCCAGGCTGATGCACTAAGACCTTTGGCACGATCTTGTACCCGGTGTGTTTGACCCCCCGAGTGCGCAGAGCCTGACCTTTGTGCAGGGCCTCGTTTGTCATGCGATTGACGTTGCGGAAGATGCTCTCGGGAACCAGCCACCTCATAGCCACGTCCACACAACTCTTCCTGAATGTACTCCACACACTGCCGCTGAGAGAGAGAGAGAGAGAGACACAGAGAGACACACACACACGCACACAGAGTGAGAGACAGTGAGAGGCAGGGAGAGCGAGAGAGACGTGGAGAGAGAGAGAGAGAGAGACAGACAGGCAGAGAGACACACACACTGAGAGTGATAGAGATGGAGACAGAAATAGAGAGACACACACACCTTGCTGGGGCGGGGGAGGTAGTGTAGGTAGTGTTACAGGGTGGGGGGGGGTGGGTCTCAAACCCACAACCATTGGACATCGCCGCGGGCGAGAGAGAGAGAGAGAGAGAGAGAGAGCAAGAAATAGAGCGATAGTTGGAGAGCTGGTGAGGGGGTGTTTACCTGGTCTGTCCCTGGACGGCAGTCAAGTCACCTACCCCTACGGTAGCAAAGACCCCCGTGTTCAGGTTCCAAGCCCCCCGCAGGTACGTGTGGTAGGTCTTTGGTCTGGAAGATAATAATAATATCAATAATAATAATCCTGGAGGTTTGATGCAGCGCCTCATCACGTCTTCCAGATTCTCAAAGCGTTTCACACGATACACTGTAAAGTGTAGTGACTTTAAAAAAAACACCCCCCCGGGTGTTTTTGAGCCAAGAACTGCAACAACAACAATTTGTTTTTGTATACCACGTAGGGGCAGCGAAACCACATCAAACAGCAACAACAACCTTGTTGATAATACATTGACGATGACACATTAATCGTGCTGACAATAATACTAATCCGGTCACGCCACCCACGGCTGTCTGTGGGACGCTGCTGTGCGCAATTGGCTGCTGCATTTCGCCCACAAAACATACAGTCGTTGCACTTCGCACTGTGAAGCGCTTTGAGACGTCTCGACCACGTGATGAGGTGCTATGTTGAATGCAAGGATTATTCTTATGAGGATTACAACAACACGTTACACTGACACAGGGCCTTTCACGTCGGGAGGACTGTCCCAAGACGCTGGACAGTCAGGGATTTGGACGTGAGCTGGGGGTTGGGATCAGGAGGGATGGAGGGCCGGGAGGGTGGGGGGTTGGAGGGTGGCCGAAGGCGCGGTTGGTCGAAGAGGGAGAGTCTCGAGGCGGGCCTTGAAGGAGGGGGTGAGGTGGGATGGAGTCCCACAGGGTGGAGGGCAGAGAGACTGAAGGCCCGGCCGATGGTGGGGTGGGGTGGGGTGGGGCTGGACAGACAGGACAGGGCGGGTGACGGGGAGCAAGCCGGAGCCCGAGCAAACACCGGAGAACACGGAAGCGCTTACCTGATTTGTCCTTCTTCCTCGGAAGGGTATGCTAACAGCAGCAGGCCTATGTTAATGATAACATGGTTGGTTATGGGGCACACCTTGAAACAAAGACAGGTTGGCTGTAGCACAGGGTCAGTGACAGCAGCCGAGAGCCAGCGAGGCCACACAGTGAACATTTACACAGCGCCTGCCTCTCACGTCGGGAGGACATCCCAAGGCACTGGACGGACAGTCAGGGATTTAGCCCCAGAACTGGGGGTTGGGTGCAGGTGGAGGATAACCAAAGGCGCGGTCGAAAAGGAGGGTCAGGTGAAGGAGGGAGGGGGGCGAGGGAGATGGATGGAGTTCCAGAGGGTGGGGGCAGAGAGGCTGCCGATGGTGGGGTGGGGTGGGGTGGGTTGGGCCAGGTGGGGTTGACGTGGAGCAGGCCGGAACCCGCTGAGCGGAGGGAGGGAGCGGTCGGGTCGAGTTACCAGGTCACAGAGGTAGGGAGGGGCAAGGCCGGGAGGGCTTTGAAGGCGAGGACAAGGACTTTGAACTCGATCCTCTAGTGGTGGGTGGGAGGAGGGGTGGGAATGGGGGAATTGGGAGCCAGTGCCCCCTGCCCCCCACCTTCACCTACCGCCGGGATGGCCCCTCCCCAAGCGTGACTCACCTCCAGGATAACAATGTCATAGTCACTGAAAGAGCAGTAGCGTTTTGACCAGGCAGCGTCATTCCTGATCACCTCATTGATCACGTACTCGAAATCTAGTATCAGCTGCTCCACCGTCAGGTACTTGCCCTGGAAGTGAGACATAGAGACGGTGGGTGGGTGGGAGGGAGGGAGAGAGGGTTGGGCGCTGACTCTCCCCCTCTTAAGCCCACAAAACACACAGTCGCTACACTTCATGGAGTGTCCCGTGAAGCGCCTCGAAGACGTGATAAGGCGCTGGGTCAAATACCAGGATTATTATTATTATCACAATAAAACAACTCAGAGAGCTTCAGAGGGCTGGAGCTTGAAGCTGAGCCGGGGAGAGAGAGAGGAGGGAGGTCACCGTAAACACAGTCGAAGAGGAAAGTGATCTGAAGACAGGCAAGGGGGCGAGTGTGGTGTGGCCGAGGGGTTGAGGGGCCTCAGTCCCATTACCTGATACGAGGCGCTCTCTTTAACCTGCTTCAGATTTCTTCCCTTCAGGTCCGTTACCACGAAAGGCAGTGAGATCTTGTCATCGTCGTAGCCTGTTGGAGAGAAGAGGGGAGGGGGGTTAGCCTGGCACACAGGGTGGGCACAGGAGCAGGCATTAACCCACAGCCCCCCGCCCCCTCGCTGCTGAACCATAGAGGCACACATGTGGCTCACACCTCAGCATCTCAAAACGCTGGAGTTCGTAGCGCAGGGGTCAGACCCCTCGCCTCGCAAGCCAGAGGACCCGGGTTTGATTCCCAGGCGGGTCAGGTCGAGGCGAAACCTTAGGCAAGTTTCCTTACTCCCCCACACACACACACACACATGCGCCTCTGGTCACCAGCAGTCAGTAGGAACCCGGTTATTAGTCAATGGGCCGATCACGTTCCCGGGGCTAATACCTTCACAAAAAAAAATAATAATAATGTGGTCACTCAACCCACGGCTGTTTGTGGGGACGTCGCTGGGCGCCTTTGGTGACGTTTTGCCCACAAAACACACAGTCACTACACTTCACAGTGTATCTGTGAAGCGCTTTGAGACGTGATGAGGCGCTGTGTCAAATGGCAGGATTATTATTATTATTATTTACAACACGGCTGTAGGTGTGACACGGCTGTAGGTGTGACTGTCTCACCATCGTCCTGTGCAGTGTTGGCTGACGGTTCCAGGACATAGTGCAGTTTGGTGTAGTTGACGTATCCGGGCTCGGTGTCGGGGTGGGGGCTGTTGTGTGGCTGGGGTTTGTCGGGGTGGGGGCTGCCGGTATCCCAGGCTCCCGGCTCTGCCTGAGCTCGGCCCCGGGGCCTATCTGCAGGCCCCTGGCTGCCCCCGGGACCCGGGCAGGTGCAGCCGGCAGCCACGGGAAGCTCCGAGCTCCCGCCGGCTGGAGCGAGGACGGAGCTCGCTGCCGGTCCCTCGTGTCCGTGTCCGGGAACATCCTCCCCGTGCCCGGCTCCCGCTCCCCCGCCGCCCGGCCTGAGGGTCTCCTCGGGAACGCCGCCGTTTGTGGCAGCCCTCGCTCGCCGGAAAATATCGGCCGCGAATTCCTTGGCCTTGCTCTCGCCCGGCGCCTGGTGTTTACGTTCCCGGAATTCCCACCCGGACATCTCCCCCTCGGAGCAGCCCCCCGGCTCGGCTCGGTGCAGGGTACAGCACTGGCCTGGGGCAGACAGGCATGGAGCCTCGCACGGCCCCCGGTGGGGATGGGGGGGCGGGGAGGGGGTGAGGCTATCATTCACCGGCTCCTCCTCAACCTCTCCTGCTCGCTCCTGGCTCTCACAGCTCTTACTGTACAGAACCTGGCCCTTGTCTCCTGAAACACACACAAAATATTAATGATAATCAACACATACGTTACATTTTGGGGGTAAATGCGATTGGCTGCTAAGTTTCTATCCCAAACACACAGTCACTCCACTTTACGGTGTGTCCCGTGAGCGCTTTGAGACGTCTCGACGACGGGACAAGGCGCCGGGTCAAATGCGAGGATCGTTATTTTTATTATGATGATGATGATGATTATTATTGCGTTCGATCCAGCGCCTTTCACACCAGCCAGACGCCTCGAAGCCATTCGCAGGATTTTATTGTGAGGCGTAGCGACCGTGTGATTTTGTGGGGGGTGGAAACCCGGCTGCCCACAAAACACACGGTCACTCCACTTTACAGTGTATCCTGCGAATGGCTTTGAGACGTCTCGACAACTGGATAAGGCACTGAGTCGAAGCTGAGGATCATTATTATTATTATTATTATTAAGTTACTAAAATAATCACACTGGGAAATGGCCGAGGGCTTCACCTGTTGTGTTGACAGATATGGCGCACGCAACGAGCGAGTAGCTGGTGTTCAGTAAAACAACGCCATCTTTCTTGAGCTGGAAGGCGGGCTGGAAGGTGGGGAACGGGTAGACCACTTGGAACTTGGTGTGAAGCATGAAGCCGTGCTGAAGGCAACAAGTGTTCGGGTCGTCTGTCAAACAAGCACAACAGCCACTTACTTACGTCTGTCCGGGCCCTTTCTGCACAGTCGACCCGGGGCCTGTCGAAGCGGCTTCAGGAGAGGATGAGAACCGAAGGCGGCAACATTCACCGAACAAAAAAACAAGCGCAACCTTTGATCCTTGTATTTGACACCGCGCCTTAAGTGTAGGACCTGGGTTCAATTCAGGGTGAAACCTTAGGCAAGTTTCCTTACTCCACACACACACCACCACACACCACACACACACACACCACACACGTGCCTCTGTGGGCAGTAAGCAGGAATCCGGTTGTTCGTCGATTGGTGGATCGCTTTTCTGGGGGTAATCGTCTCTTCCAAAATAAATAAATAAAAATAATAATAATGACGTGGTCACTCAACCCACGGCTGTTTGTGGGGACGTCGCTGGGCGCAATTGGCTGCTGCGTTTTGACGAAAAAAAAAGTCACTACACTTCACAGTGTATCCTGTGAAGCGCTTTGAAATGCCTAGAAGACGTGATTAGGCGCTGTGTCAAAGGCGAGGATTATTAGTATTAGTATTATTGTTGGTGATTGAGCGAGGAGGGAGGGAGGGAGGGAGGGGAGGGAGGGAGGGAGGGGAGGGAGGGGTTAGTCTGACCTGTGGTGAGCAGGGCTGTGTCACGGCAGTCCGGGCACTGGGTGAAGGGAGGAGCAGCCACAGCTGTAATGTAAATATCTCGGTCGTTTTCGTCGCTCATCACCATGTTGATCAGCAGGTCATAGACGGAGCGGATACTGAGATATAAACACAAGGCTTTCACGTCGGGATTTATTTCATCTCGAGAGGGAAATGTCCGCCAAACGAGACCCCTGGTCGTCAAACCCCACCAACCTCACCCACCCCGGCCAACCAGACCCCACAACCTCACCGTTCCCCGCAAACTAGACCCCACAACCTTATTCCCCCCCACCTCACAACACCCCCTCCCCGGCCGCCCCCACAAATTCCTACTCTGAAGACTCTAAATTATGGAAAATTCTTTAAAAAAAACAATAACGTCCTTTGTGTCTTCTTGATTCTCAGATAAAGAATTCCTTCTTGTTATCGACGACGATTGACAATAATAGTTCTCAGTTTGGACGCCACAAGGCGTCCGAATTAACAACAGCAACTTGCTTTTGCACAGCGGCCCTTCGCTTGGGATAGTCTCGAACAGTGGCGGAGGCTGACACTGAGCCAGAGGAGGAGGGAGAGGGGGGGGAGAGAGAGAGAGAGAGAGAGAGAGAAGGGGGGGGGAGGCACAGTCATAGAGGAAGACAGATCAAGTCTTCAGGTCAGAAAGGTAGGGAGGGAGGTGCCAAATGCATGTCCCTCGTGACCCCCTATCAGCAGCCGCGCTTTCAGCCACTACGCCCCCAGTCTCCGTCACTCTCTCCCCACCAATCCCTCCTCCTCTCCCCCTCTTTCCCCTCTTTTAGATCACAATTGAAGACCTTCCTCTTCTACTGTGTTTAGAGGAAGGCACCTTCCCCCCCCCCCACCCCCCCCCGGCTCCACCACTGTTAAGCGCCGAGAGACACTGCCCGTGTGAGTGCAAGTTGTTGTTGGTGTTGCGTTACTTCTCTTTGTAAAAAAGGGTCACAGATAGTTACTTGAAGCCAAAGACGATGAGCTTTGTTGGGTCACTAGGCCACTCACAGACAGTCAGGTACAGGTCGCTGTACACTTCCTGATCCTTGAACAAGCGGATCTGCCGCACCTACAATCAAACACACACAAATCATAATAACACACAAACCATAATAATAATAATAACAAGAATCCTGGCTTTCCTACAGCGCCTTATTACACCGTCGAGCCATCCCAAAGCGCTTCACAGGATACACTGTCAAATGCAGTGACTTGTGTATTTTGTGGGCAGCCACAGCGATGTCCCATAAATACTCGTGGATTGAGTGACCTATTTATTATTACTATTCTTTTTGTGGAAAATATTATCCCGGAAAAGCATGCGCCAATCGACTAACAACTGGTTTCATACTTAGTGCTGGGTAACCAGAGACGGGGGTGTGTGTGGAGTAAGGAAACTTGCCCAATGTTTCACCCTGACCTGCCCGGGAATCGAACCCAGGTCTCTCGCTTGCAAGGTGAGTGCTCTCACCCCTGAGCTACAGGACTCCACCCTTTTGAAGGAGACCCTTCAAAAATCAAACAAACAAACAAACAAACAAATACATAGCCCCCTGGGTGTAGACTAGGTTTTGATTTAAAGGGCAATGGGCTATTTGGCTCTCGCTGTCTCTCGCTTGTGTGCTTATTACTCACCTGTTTCAGTTTGTCGTGAATGTTGAATTTCCACCAGTAAAGGTAATACACGTAATCCGGTAACTCATCAAACACCTGTTCCCTGGTGTAGGACAGCACATATCGCCCACATTTTGTGAATCCGAGGAATATATGCCTGCAGCCGAGAGAAGAACAAGAGCAAGAATAATCCTTATAACTATTATTATTATTAATTATTATTCAGGCTCCGCCATTGTTAAGCGCTCCGAAATGCTGCCACTTGAAGGGCGCTGTGTAAATGCAAGTAGTTGTCGGCGTTGTTATATTATTCCGTGCAACAACACGTGACATTTACGCGGCGTCTTTCACGTCAGGAGCCAGGCTGATTGTGAGAGACTCTCAAATTTCAGGCGCTCAGTTAGTTATTTGCGCAGCATAGAAACAGGAGGAGGCCATTCAGCCCCTCGAGCCTGTACCGCCATTCTATAAGATCACGGCTGATCTGTACCTCAACTCCAATTACCCTGCCCTTGCTGCATTATCGCTTGATCCCCTGACCTAACAAACAGCTGTCCACCTCAGTCTGGAAAATTTGAATCGATTTTTAAATTCTAATTAAAAATGTGAACGGATTCAGCCATAATCCGCAGCCTTGTGGGGGAGGGAGGGTGTTCCAGACTCCCACTGGCCTTTGTGTGAAAAACTGCCTTCTGATTTCACTCCTAAACGGCCTGGCTCTAATTTTAAGATGATGCCCCCCCACTTGTTCTGGATCCCCCCCACCCCCACCCACCAGAGGAAACAGTTTCTCTGTAGACCACCCCTCAACCTTCTCTACTCAATACAAGGCAGAACTACATTTATATCAATGTTTTTTNGAGTCCGGACTTTTCACTCCGGAGTCTGATCTCCTCCACGGAGAGAGGTGGGAGGGGAGGAAAAGGCCAGGAAGGAATGCCAACCGACTGAAACCTTTTTTTCTTCCACGTACCCCGCGAGCAAAAACACATCGTCCACTATGTTTTTTAGCGGGACGCACAATATCGGCGGCAGGTTCTGGAACATTCGGTGGGAGAACTGTCCGGTAATCTGCAACGAGAAAACGTAAAGCACTTCAGGAACCGTCCAGAAAAAAACACAACTCCCACATCAACTCTCACCCAAAGGTCAGCTCCCCAACACTAAGGAGACCTGCAGCGTTTGCTCCTAGTCTAGTTATGCTAGTCACACTAGTTATAAAGCAGAGAGTGGGCGTGTGTCTGTGGGGGGGCCGTTACAGGCTATCATAATAGTCGTTGCATTTGATATGGCGCCTTTTTAAGCCGGAAGGACGTCTCAAAGCTTCGCAGGATTCACTGTGACATGGAGTGACTGTGTGTTTTTGTAGGCAAACGCGGCAGCACAATAGCTCGCGGGGGATTTTATTCGGGGAATTGTCAGGGCACAGGGAGACAAAAGAGAAACTCCCTTCTCTTTGCAAATGGCGTCACGGGGTCAATAATGTCCACCTGAGCAGGCGGATGACGTTCAGCACCTCCAACAATGCAACCCCCACCCCCCGCAACCCCGCAACCCACCCCCCAGCAGCGCATTGGAGCGTCACCGTACACTGTGCGGGTTCAAGGTTAGTATAACTATAACTTGGTCACTCAATCCAGGGCTGTGTGTGGGGACGCTGCTGCGCGGCACCGGCTGCCGCGTTTCACCCACAAAATACACAGTCACTACACTTTACAGCATATCCCGTGAAGCGCTTTGGGAAGTCCCACAGGTGCGATGAGGCGCTGTGTCAAACGCGAGGCTTATTATTATTATTATTATTATAGCTGCAGGTGTCCAGTTGCAGTAGTTATAGCGCAGTGGGGGGGGAATTATATATAGTATTTATTATTTATTATTTATACAGTTTATATAGAGCAGCGCGGGGGGGGGGGGGGGGTCACTGTTATAGCCGGGATTGCTCTCGCCCGGGGAGGGGGCTATAAGGGGAAGGGGGGGGTGGAGGTTGAGGGGAGGAAGTTGAGGAGGGAGGAGGTTGAGGAGGGAGGAGGTTAGGGGGGGAGGGAGGAGATTGAGGGGGGCGGAGGGGGAAGGTTGAGGGGGGGAGGGAGGAGGTTGAGGGAGGAGGTTAGGGGGAAGGTTGAGGGGGGGAGGGAGGAGGTTGAGGGAGGAGGTTGAGGAGGGAGGAGGGGGAAGTTGAGGGGGAGGAGGTTGAGGGGGAGGGAGGAGGTTGAGGGAGGAGGTTAGGGGGAAGGTTGAGGGGGGGGGAGGGAGGAGATTGAGGGGAGGAGGTTGAGGAGGGAGAAGGTTGAGGGGGAGGGAGGAGGTTGAGGGGTGGAGGTGAGGATGGAGGGGCTGCCGGGGGGGTGGATGTTGGGGGGGGAGGAGGGGCTGAGGGCGGAGGGGAGGGGGGGGCGGTACCTTGAGGCGGTGTAAGCTCCTCAGGACGTTGGTTTTCCTCTTGGCCGCCGCCACCGGACGCTTTTTCGCGCTCGGCGCCATTTTCCCCCCTAAGAGCCCGCCCCCTTCCTCACGGTCATTGGTCTCACCAGCTTCCCGCTCGGCCTGACTCCCGATTGGTCCACGACCCTGTCAATCACACCCCCACCCCCGGAACCCGCCTTCGCCTCACGCTCATTGGTCGGATTCCCCACCCCCCACCCCCAGCTCAGTCTGGCGGCTGCTGATTGGTTCTCACTCCTGTCACTTCCAGAGCCCGCCCCTCTCCTCACGCTGGTTGGCCGCTCCCCCCGCCAGACGGCTCCTGATTGGTCCTCAGTCCTGTCTCTCACCTCTTCCAGAGCCCCGCCCTCTCCTCGCGTTCATTGGTCCCACACCTGCACCCGCTCGGCCGGACGTTTGGTACGTCAATCAATCTGCCCCTCCCCCCCCCCCCCCGCACCAGCAGGTTAGGTTGCGCCGCCAGGTTAGGTTGGGTTGTGGGACAGCGCCGCCTGGAGGCTGGAGGCTGGAACTGCAGCAGGAAAGGAAATCCCAGCCCCATGTCCTCACCCTTTAGAGAATGAGGCCATTCAGCCCACTCAGCCTGTTCCATCACACACTTTTGGTATAGCTTAGTGCAATCCTCCCACACAATGCTCTGTAACTAGTTGGGTGGCTTTTCTGGGGTAATAATCCCTTCGAAAACAAAATAATAATAATAATAAATTCGGTCAATTCAACCCACGATTGTTTGTGGGGACGACGCCGGGCATTTCACCCACAAAACACACAGTCACTACACTTTACAGTGTATCCTGTGAAGCGCTTTGAGACATCTCGAAGACATGATGAGGTTCTGTGTCAAATGCCAGCATTATTACTGTTATAATTATTATTGACCAAAGACCAAGCCCACATCTGCTCACAGATTATAAAACCCACTTTTAATTGCATTTTATACAACAACAAAGGGCAGCGTCGCGGAGCACATAACAAAGGCAGAACCCGATGTCAAGCAGGAGTGGGGTGGGTGACTGTACGCACAGTCGAAGAGGAAGGTGCAATGTTAGTTTGTCAAAATCAAACAATTGCCATGGACGTCGCTGGGCGCAATTGGCTGCTGCGTTTCACCCACAAAACACACTGTCACTACACTTTACAGCATATCCCGTGAAGCGCTTTGAGAAGTGCCAAAGGCGCGATAAGGCGCTGTGTCAAACGTAAAGCTAATTATTATTATTATTATTATTGTTATTGGAGTGTCAAAGCAGCCCAGAGGCACGAGTGCCTCCACACCTGAGGCACGGCTGAACACCTGTTTTATTATAATAATAATTAGTTAGTTAGTTAGTTCCCACAAGTTGCTGCTAGTTACGGGACGAACAATCCTTGAATTTCAAGACCAGGCTGGAAAAAGACTTCCAGACGGCGGGATCGTTGACGCAGACAACCCCTCCGCCCCGGAACTCCTCGGCTCTGTCTCGGTTGATGTCGCCGACGCAGACCCAGCTCGGTCCGTCGCCGCGTGGGTGGGTCACGCACCACTTGGAGTGGTCTACGGTGCTGGTGAAGTCGGGGTTCCCGGGCAGGTGGATGGTGTCCACGTTGTAAACCCAGTGAGGCCCGGAGCAATTCGACGGCAGAGTCCCTCGGGAATTGGGCCACGACTGCACCAGGAGGTCACTGGCAAACTCGCCCGCCAGCCAGTCAACGTACAGATCTGTAACAAGAGCAACCGTTCATCCCGCGACCTTCACATAGGGGACGTCCTGTAGCTCAGTGGTTAGAGCGCTCGCCTCGCAAGCGAGAGGACCCGGGTTCGATTCGTGAGTGGGGGAGGGCTGGGAAGGGGGGAGGGTGTTTGCCAAGCGGAAGAGAGGATCGGGGCAATACAGAGGTGTGAAGGGGTTTTAAAGGTGAGGATCAGGTGAGCGTGAAGCACCCCCACCCACCCCACCGACACGGGGTTTGAACCCGCAAGCTGCTCGCTCCGATCTGGGAGCGGTCTGGCAGACTGAGACCGGGTGGAATTTGGGGCTCGAGGGGTGAAAAGGAAAACGACGTGGGGGTGGGCAGCACCATCTCAAACGAGCGAGGATTACCTTTGCCGAAAGCTTTGGATTTTGCGAAGCTGTTGAAGTTGGTTCCGGCCACTGAGCGCAACCCAGCCTTTCTCTTCCCCCCCGGGGGGAGCGCCCTGTGGGGCTCCACGGCCTTCTTGAGGTCGGGCAAGTCTCTGGCGAAAGGCTCCGGTACAGAGTGGGAGTAAGTGTGAGGATTGTTGTACAACAGCTGGAGGCCTGGAGCAAGGAAGGAATGAGAGAGAGGGTGAGTGAGTGAGAGAGAGGTTACAGTCATCATTGCAATCGATACAACAACAACAACAAACGACACTTACACAGCGCCTTTCACATCAGGAGGACGTCCCAAGGCTCTGGACAGTCAGGCGTTTGGACCCGAGCTGGGGCTTGGGATCAGGAGGGAGGGTGGAGGCAGGGAGGGTGGGGGTAGGAGGGTGACCGAAGGCCCAGTTAGTCGAAGAGGAGGGTCTTGAGACTGGTGATGAAGGAGGCCAGGGAGGGAGGGTGGGGGGTGAGGCGGAGGGTCAGTGGGATGGAATTCCAGAGGGTGGGGGCAGAGAGGCTGAAGGCCCGACCGCCGATGGTGGGAGTCAGAGCCTTAATCACATGGTCCAGATCGTCTCAAAGTGCTTCTCAGGGGTTTCACAGTAGAATGGAGTGACATGTGCGACCTGTGCCCTCACCGATCTCGTTGAACTGGGCGTAGGGGTACGTGACGCAGAGGAAGGATTGCCCATTGCGTTTGCCTGAGTCTGGCCAGCTGTAACTCTCGTTGGCTGGCAGCGGGAAATGAGGAGTGCTGTGCACCAGCCAGAAACCTTGCTTCTGATCCAAGAGGATGACACCTTGACCGAGTGCGTGACAGCGAGAGAGAGAGAGAGAATAAATAAATAAATATATGGGCATTTCATCGTCTCAGAGCGATTAACATTGGCGGAGCCTGACTCCGAGCTGGTGGGGGGAAGAGGGTGACCGTAAGCACGGTCGAAAAAAGGAGGGGAGAGAGAGAGAGAGAGAGAGAGAGGGGTGGTGGGCAAGGTGGAGGGATTTGAGGGAGAGTGTTCCAGAGTTTCGGGGCAGAGGACGCGAGGGACGAGGAGGAGGAGATGGTAAAGTCAGATGAGGTTGTCGAGTGTTCACTCCCTACCTTTAGTGTGGCCGTAGTTGCTCTCCGAGTGTTTAGTAGACTGATCGTTATACAGCACATACGCTGTCTCTTGGTTCTGGTGAAGTGAAGGAGAAATCTCGGTTATCAGTTGTTTCACATCAAAATTCACCTAAAATTCACTGAGCGGACAGTACCGCACTGGCTTTCTGGGGACAAACACAGCAGCCAATTTGCACACAGCGACTTCCCTCCAACAACCATGAAGTGAAGGAAGGATTCACTTGGGGGTTTGTTGGCCCAAGTCTCCGGGGCAGAGAGAAAGAACCTTCTTTCTATGAGGGTCTCGGAGGTCTGCGACGTGAGACAGTGGCGGAGCCGGGTCATGTTGCGGAGGTGGGGGAAGGCAGAGCAGGTCATGGCACGGATGTGGGGTAGAAGGGATAGGTGAGGGTCAAACAAGACCCCAAGGTTCGGGACTGACTCAGTGAGGTGGAGTGAGCAATGGACGGTGATGTTGTCAGCGCCTGAGGTGAGGAGGCGCTGACGGGAGCCAATCAAGAAAGCCTCGGTCTTGCTGACATTGAACTAGAGCAAGTTAGCTCTCAGCCAGGACTTGACGAGGTCGGGAGCCTTACCTGAGCTTGACCTTCCTTATAGACTTGTGTCAGAGTGCGGCCCACAGCTCCCTGTGTATTGTTTATCAAGTAATTCCCCGGTTTCCAGCCCTTGGTGGTAGAGTCCTGGTACATGTAGCTGAGCCCAGTCAGACTGCTGCGTTTGGGCAGTTTGTAAACGATGAACCTGAATAATAATAATAATAATAATAATCCTGGCATCTGTACGGCGAACAGCAGCGTCCCCACAAACAGCCGTGGATTGATCGAGGAGGACAAGGAGGCAGAGGGAGCCCTGATCACAGGTATTCAGAATGTCATCAGTGACTGTGACCCCCGGGGCTGTTTCCGTGCTGTGGGCAGCGCGGAATCCGGATTGGAGGGGTTTAAAGAGGGAACGGCGAGAGAGAAAGGAGCGGAGTCGGGATGGAGGTGATGACGGCTGTTTTTCGGGGGGTGGGAACCGAACCGGTGGACAGGGAGAGATTGATGACATCGGACAGGAGTGGGGGCCAGAAGGTGGAGCTGGGAGACGAGGAGAGAGGTGGGGATGGGATCGAGGGAGCAGGTGGTGCGAACAGTCGTGGTGATGTACACAGAAACACACACATACAGACAAACACGCACACCACATACACACACATGTACACAGACATACCACACACACACTCCCCAGTATACAGCACTCTGGAGCCGGGGTTTACCAGTCCACGGGATTCCCGGAGTCGCTGTAACAGGAGATGGACGAACTCGCTGCAGACACCAGGCAGCGGAGGGTGGTCAGGAGCAGGAACAGGAGGACCGGTGAGGGGCTGCGGAACATCATCTACAAACAAACAATCAGCCGAGTCTGATTCAGGAGCCATAGTGAGAGGTACATTAGCCGTCAGGCAATACCACCCGCCCTCCCCTGCCACCCCTCCCCTGCCACCCCTCCACTGCCACCCCTCCCCTACCAACCTTCCCCTGCCAACCTTCCCCTGCCACCCCTTCACTGCCAACCCTCCACTGCCAACCCTCCCCCTGCCAACCTTCCCCTGCCACCCCTCCACTGCCAACCCTCCCCCTGCCAACCTTCCCCTGCCACCCCTCCACTGCCAACCCTCCCCTGCCAACCTTCCCCTGCCACCCCTCCACTGCCAACCCTCCCCCTGCCAATCTTCCCCTGCCACCCCTCCACTGCCACCCCTCCCCTGCCAACCTTCCCCTGCCACCCCTCCACTGCCAATCCTCCCCCTGCCAACCTTCCCCTGCCAACCTTCCCCTGACACCCCTCCACTGCCACCCCTCCCCTGCCAACCTTCCCCTGCCAACCTTCCCCTGCCAACCCTCCACTGCCAACCCTCCCCCCTGCCAACCTTCCCCTGACACCCCTCCCCTGCCACCCCTCCCCTGCCACCCCTCCACTGCCACCCCTCCCCTACCAACCTCCCCTGCCACCCCTCCCCTGCCAACCTTCCCCTGCCACCCCTCCACTGCCACCCTCCCCCTGCCAACCTTCCCCTGCCACCCCTCCACTGCCACCCCTCCCCTACCAACCTTCCCCTGACACCCCTCCACTGCCACCCCTCCACTGCCAACCCCCCCTGCCACCCCTCCACTGCCAACCCTCCCCCTGCCAACCTTCCCTGACACCCCTACACTGCCAACCCTCCCCTGCCACCCCTCCCCCTGCAACCCTCCCTACCGTCCCCTCTGCCAACCCCCCCCTGCCTTGCCCGCTCCCCTCCCACCCACCTCTGTCTTCAAAACCCCAGCACATTAAAACCAATTTCTACAATGAAAGCCCCCCCCAGACACACAAAACCCCCCACGAACACACACACACTTAGATTCCACCCCCCCCCCCCCCCCCGACACACATACATAAATGCACACAGACACCCCCACACACAGTCACACACAGCCCCCACAAACTGACCCCCCCCCCACACACACACACACAATGCAGTAAATTGTTATAATAAATATATATTTACATAAAATATAAAGATAAGACCGATTTCTCTTCAGCATTAAAAAGAATCAGCAGAACACCCAGGGACTGAGTTAACCATAACCACTGTCACAAGTTCATACTTGTGGTTTGTCGCATTTCATTTTCTCCTTCCTCCCTCCGGCTCGTCCTCCAACTGCGCTCACTCTCTCTCACACTCTCCGTCTGTCTCACACTGCGGCTCACTCTCTCTCACACTCTCCGTCTGTCTCACACTGCGGCTCACTCTCTCTCACACTCTCCGTCTGTCTCACACTGCGGCTCACTCTCTCTCACACTCTCCGTCTGTCTCACACTGCGGCTCACTCTCTCTCACACTCTCCGTCTGTCTCACACTGCGGCTCACTCTCTCTCACACTCTCCGTCTGTCTCACACTGCGGCTCACTCTCTCTCACACTCTCCGTCTGTCTCACACACTCACACACGGTCTGTCTCACCCTCTATCACACTCTCTCTGTCTCACACTGTGGTTCACTCTCTCTGTCTCACACTGTGGCTCACTCTCTCTGTCTCACACTGTGGTTCACTCTCTCTTCTCACACTCTGTCTCACTCTCTCTGTCTCACACGGTGGTTCACTCTCTCTGTCTCACACTGTGGTTCACTCTCTCTGTCTCACACTGTGGTTCACTCTCTCTGTCTCACACTGTGGTTCACTCTCTCTGTCTCACACTCACTCTCTCTGTCTCACACTCACTCTGTCTCACTCTCTCTGTCTCACACACTCTCCGTCTCACACACTCTGTCTCATTCTCTCTGTGACACACACTCTCTGTCTCACACTGTGGCAATGTTCAGTAGTGATGACTCTAAAGAGGTTGACCTTTCTCCCTCCCACAAACAAGCCAATAACCAACCCGCTTCCCCTTCCCCTTCGAGTCCCGTCCGTCCGCCCTGCCTGTCTGTCTTGCCTGCCTGTCCGCCCTGCCTGTCTGTCCTGCCCGCCCTGCCTGCCTGTCTTGCCCGCCCTGCCTGTCTGTCTTGCCCGCCCTGCCTGCCTGTCCTGCCTGCCCTGCCTGCCTGCCTGTCCGCCCTGCCTGCCTGTCCTGCCCGCCCTGCCTGTCTGTCTTGCCCGCTCTGCCTGTCTGTCTTGCCCGCCCTGCCTGCCTGTCCTGCCTGCCCTGCCTGCCTGTCCTGCCCGCCCTGCTTGCCTGTCCTGCCCGCCCTGCCTGCCTGTCTTGCCCGCCCTGCCTGCCTGTCCTGCCCGCCCTGCCTGTCTGTCTGACATTGAGGTTGAAAAGTAACAGGATTGCTGGGCCAGTCAGTCTCCCTCACAGGAGCTTTACATAAATTCCTTTAGTTAAAAAGCAAGTGTTTCTCTCCCCCGAGATCACAAGCCTCTCACTTGCTTATAAATCCTCAATCTCTGACCTTCAGTCAGATTAAAGCCAATCATTCTGCAAATGTCAACCCTCAACCTAAGGTTTGGGGACTTTTTTGAGCTCAAACTCCAGGCTGATGCTCCAGCCCAGCGCTGGGGGGAGGGAAGCAACATCACAGGCGCCGTCCTGCGGATGAGATGTTAACAACAACAACAAAATTACATTTACATAGCGCCTTCATGTCGTCGAGTTCCCCATCTGTGCGCTGTTCAGGAGGGAGCGAGTCAGAGAGAGGGGAGGAAGGGGATGGAGTTCCAGAGAGTAGAGGCAGAAACCCTAACCCCCCCCCCCCCACCCGATGGTAAGCAGGTCATGCCGGGGGTGGGTGGGGGTAATAATTTATTAATTGACACAGACTGGTTTGATTTCAGCTGCTTTTTATTGTCGGTTCCCAAAATGATGTCACGCGCACGACAAGTCACGACACGAAAGCCCTCAAATCACAGTCACAACCACCACCACCAGCACAAAATTAACACGACACACGGGAAAATCCCCGCAAGGCGCTTCGAGACTCTTCCCCGAGGCGATCGGACGCCGGCACTTTATTGATTAAAATTACTTTTGATACAGAGCCTTTCCCGTCAGCCGGACGCTGCGGTGAAAATCCTCCGACACAGTCACAGCGCAAACCCCCCCCGTGGAGCTCAGTGAGGCGGCTTGACGTGAAAAGGCGCCGTATCAAATGCGAGGGCTGTTGTTGGATGTGGTTAGTCAGAGCGTGTTTAAGTGGTGCATCCAAAGTCCCGCAGGGTGTCTGAAAAGTCTATCAGGTTCTCACAGAGGCTTCTGTAAGTCCGAGCCTGACACTCCTCGTTGTTCGGCCACCATTCCACCCAGGTCCCCTTCGTGACCACGTAGGTCATTCTGAAATTAAGATATTTTGTAACCCGTGAGGATTGACCGGGCATCGCCTCCAATTTGTAACTGGACATTGCAGCCATGGATGTAGAGAATTACATGGACATGTGGATAAGGAGGCGTGTGGATCAGGAGGAGTGTGTGGATCAGGAGGAGTGTGTGGATCAGGAGGAGTGTGTGGATCAGGAGGAGTGTGTGGATCAGGCGATGGATGGGCTGAAAGGCAGAATAGAAGCCAGAATTTGCAACTCACCCATTTTTCATCGGCCACAGATCTTTCTGAAAACCCATAATCAAATAATCCTTGACCTGCAGATCCACCACAAACGTCTCTTTGCAGCTGGCGTGTGACACCAAGAACCTGTCATTTCCCTCCACCACCTCGTCACTCCCTGTAAGAGGAATATTCACAGCCGGACACCATGACTCATTTTATCTTTGCCAGTGATGGGTTTCTCAGACACCCGGCTGATCACAGTGATAATAATAATAATCCTTGCATTTGATATAGCGCTTTTCACGTCGGGAGGACGTCCCAAAGCGCTTCACAGAACACACTGTAAAGTGAATTGACTGTATATTTGTGGGGGAACGCGGCAGCCAATTGCACACAGCAATGTCCCACAAAGTGTCGTAGATTGAAAATGACCAATTTATTATTGTTTTTGGTTTTGGAGGGATTATTATTAGGCTCTGTGTGGAGTAAGGAAACTTGTCCAAGGTTTCGCCCTCTGCCTGGAATTGAACTCAGGTCTCTCACTTGCAAAGCGAGTGCTCTAACCACTGAGCCACAGGACTCCACATGGCTTTCCCTGTCCCTCAGACACCCGGCTGATCACGGTGATGGCTTTCCCTGTCCCTCAGACACCCGGCTGATCACAGTGATGGGTTTCTGCGCGAATTAGACAAGTAACAATTTGAACTGCTGATTGTCTCACCGGCTTTAATCACTGTCAGGACTTTGAAACTGTAGTAATCGTAACCCTCTTTTTCTTCCTTATCGAGGAATCGTATCTTGTAAACTAGAAATCAGTGGAAATTATAATTATTAATAACAATGCTTCAATTGAATCCTTGCGAGGCACTTTATAGAGATGTCCTGCAAGGCACTGTATCAAACATAAGGACTGTTATTTAATACAGCACCTTTCATGTCAGTGAGACGTCTCAAAACCCTTCACAGAATTTACTGTAAAGTGCAGTGACTGTGTTTTTGTGGGTGAACATGGCAGACTATTTGGCACAGTGATGTCTTCACAAACAGCCGTTGTAATGAGTCTCTGATTTTATCTTGGGGTTTGTAAACCAGAAAACTAGGGGAAAGAGAGAAACTAAACTCCCTTCTCTTTTCGAATAGCATCACAGGAGACATCTCTAACATCCACCCGAATAGGCAGGTCAGTTTAATGTTTCATTCGGATGATGGCGCCTCCGACAATGTGGTGCTCCCCCCAGCGTTGCACCAGATCCTCGGGTTTACACTGTGAGCTCAAAGTCCCCAACGTGGCATGTATCCATGACCTGACTCAGAAGCAAGAGTGTGAGTGACTGAGCCACGAGGTGGGATAATATCAGACAGTTGTTGTCTGACAGAAAAAATAATTACCAAAATCAACTTCCGGAAGGCAGGCCTGGTATTGTCTCATATCAGCAGTTATCGATCTGTCGTTTGGTTTCTGTAGCGAAACACAGTTTTCTATCGGGAAGAATAGAAAGAGAGATTAATATCCTCACATCACTGTGGTCAATGGGTCCAGTTTTTCAGTTAAATCTCTCCAAGGAAAGTGACAAGAGGGTGTTGATTTACAATAATTTGTAAAGGAGCCAATGGGGAGGTTAGGAAGTTTATTTTCCTACTTTTGCTCCCACTCCCCCAACATCTCTCCTGAAAGGGTACTTTTCACAATGTGGTGCTCAGCCCCCAGCAACGCACTGGAGCCTGAGCCTGGACTAGATGAGTTCTAACTCCCCTTTCGTATGGGCAATCTTCTGACTCGGAGGCGAGAGCGTGACCCACTGAGCCAAGTTGACAAGACCAGCGCCCAGATCGAATCTTTACACAATGGGACTGATGGACAAAGCCATCTGAAAACTCACAGTGTTCAAGGAGAGAGAAAGTCTGGATTTATTACCTGCTGCACATCTGCAGATCTCGTTGTGACAAATCTTACCAAGCATGGCGTTGCTTGCCTTTAAGTTGTAGAACGATGTGCAGCTGTTTGCTGAGGATATTAGAACAAAAAAGAAACATAAAGCATAAATAGACAGTTTTTATCAGCTTCCCCCTTTGGCAAATCACTCCCTCCCTTGTTTCGGTCAAGGCCCTTCTCAAAACGTATCTTTTTGACCGCGCTTTGGGTGGAATATGGGAGCTGAGGTGGGGAGAGGCGGCAGAAGGTCAAAGAGACGCATATTGAGCCAGGCCTTGAACAAGATGGTGATGTGCGGGGTGGGGTGTCAGAGAGCCTCCGGGATGGAGTTTCAGATATCTGCACTAAACTTCATTCGCCACTTATCAGCCCAAGACCCTTTGCTGCCTCCTCAGGTTCTGCAATTTTTCCCCTAACTTGATGTCATCTGTAAATGTAAGTACCTCACACTGGGTCGGTGAATCCAGATCATCAATGCGTGGGGAGAGGGAGGGTGGTGAGGGCTCTGGTATAGAGGCACCCGTCCTGTAAATACTCACCTGAATCATAGTATTCATACACCTCAACTGCAGCTGGTTGCATGAAACCAACTTTAAAGTACTGATGTGCTTTAAATGCAAAGCAAGTGTCTTCATCACGGGAGACCTGCGGGGGTTTCCAAGCAGAAATATGAGCAGACACTTTGGGCTGATGGTTCCTTTACAGATTATTTTTAAGGGGTTTAAGGAAACCCAATTGGAGAATTGTAATTATAGCTCCAAATATAGGACAAACCCCACCCCTTCCGCCATCGTCCCTCACAACCAACTACCTCAAGGCACAGGAAGCGACGTCATCAGTGAAGGGCAAGGGCGGATGGGGGCACGATAAACCTCTGGTTACATAAATAGTTTTTTTTAAAAAAAATAAGAGGAATATTCGGTAAAAAGATACAAATATGTGTCGTGTCTTACTTTATCCAGATAAATAATCAAGGAACTTTTGCGTGATGTATCTTTGTTGAGTTCAAACTTTGATATGTACAGATCGACACCAGTTGAAATCTGCAAAGAAACCCACAGATCAATAAAATATATCAACTTATCAAACAACTTGTTATTTGTGACTAAGATCATTACTAATACATAGATACATAGACATATAGAAACAGGAGGAGGCTATTCAGCCCATCGAGCCTGTGCTGACATTTCCAGTTACCCGCCCTTGTCCCATATCCCTTACCACCCGGACCTAACAAATATTTATCTACCTCCATCTTGAAAAGATATTGTTAAGATATTCACCTTCAAATTACAGCATAACTTACCTGCCGACAAGTACACTTAAGGCATTTTATAGAAAGCTGCCATATTCTCCGACTCGCTTAATAATAACCCTTGCATTTGATTCAGCGCATTATCACGTCATTGAGACATCTCAGTGCTTGCTTCACAGGATATACTGTAAAGTGTATATTTTGTGGGCGAAACGTGGCAGCCAATTGCACACAGCAGTGTCCCCCACGCAGTCGCGGATTGAGTGACCAAATCATTATAATTGCTTACTGTAGGATAAACAGAGGCATGTGAAATAAGGAAACTTGCCCAAGGTTTCGCCCTGCCTGGGAATCAAACCCAGGTCCTCTTGCTTGCGAGGCGAGTGCCCTAACTAACGTGCTACAGCACTCCACTGAACAGTGAAGGTCTCCTGACGTGAAAGTCACTGGGCCAAATGTGAGGAGTGTTATTATTATAGTGTTAAAATCCTTAGACTGCCCATCAATTTAGAAATGCAATCTTACCGCTTTCAAATCATCCAAATCCGGAGAAAATCCCGTTAACATGGAAATATCCGCGATGGTCATTGTCACCTCTTTCTCTTCCAGATTCCTAAACAGGAACACACAAAGCGTCTTGGTCGAATATCTCAAGAGGCCGAAGTGAAAAAAAAACAGCCAACTTCTGGATCGGCTTCCTGGTCGCTGCCGACATGACTTCCTGCACACAGGCCGGGGTGACGGGGGCAAACCTGACCATCAGGGAGTCGGACGTTTTCTTTAGAGCGAGAAGCTGGCTGGTCGGTGCCGGGAGTTGGGGGTCTGAGTAACGGGCTTAGAAAATGCATTTATAAGGCAGCAATTTGAACGCGTTAAATTGAACTCCCCCTGAATTCACGCTCAGGAACTGCTCGGCCGCCCACAGCGCTGTTTATTGTCAGGGGAAATATTGTACAATTTGGTCATGTATTGATTAATATTCAGCCCACTTACCGTGCACACACGTTTATCAATACAGAGCTCAGGGCGCCTTGTGGTTTTTTTTCTGTAACAATGTAAAGGAAGATTCTGTTTGTACGGCATATCCACCCTCCACTTCCCGATTCCGGCTCCGATTTATCCCGAATGTGATGCCGGTGGTGCCTCAGATAATGGCCATTTTTAAATTTTGGTCACTGGCCATTTCCATGTATTTCTGGTCTCAAAACTGGGCCCCTCCTTCCCTCCCTCCAAGTGTGTTAACCACTACGCTACAGGACTCCCCTCCCTCCCTCCCTCCCTCCCTCCGAGTGTGTTAACCACTACGCTACAGGACTCCCCAATCCTTACTTCTGATGCTATAGGAACACCGACGCTGACACTGGTCGGATACTGTGGTGCTTACCTGGAAAAACCTCTTCCACAGTAACTTGCAAGTCAAATTTCTGGCACTCCTTGGCTTTTTCAGTCAATAAAGCGTTGTAAATGGTCGTCACCTTCAGGGAAAGGATGTGGGAGGTTCAGTTACAGCAGAAACTTAGCCACAAATATATCAGGTTCAGATAATTAGCAAAGGGGGAAGATAAGTTTTTTTTTAAAAAATGCTGAAATGAGGGGCGGGCGATCAGCTGGAGCTGGATTTGTGATCTCTAAGTCCTTCCCTTCTCCCCCTCGTCCATCTCAGATGGGCTTCCTCCAGTTGAATGCCAACAAGATCTCTTGCTTGGCTCCCGTCAGCGTCTCCATACCTCGGGCATCACCCTTCATGGATGCCCTCTACACCTCGCGCAGCCAATATGGAACCTCACCATCCTATTCGACCCTCAATTGTCCTTCATCCCTCACATCTGTGCCGTGTCCCGCTCCACCTTCCCCACCTCCGCAACATCGCCCGGCTCCGCCACTGTCTCACACCGCAGGCCCGAGACCCTCATACACACATTCATCACATCCAGGCTCGACCACACAAACTCTCTGCTTGTCGGCCTCCCACCTCTACCTCCACAGGCTGCAGATCATCCAGAACTTTGCAGCCCGTGTCCTCTCCCGCACCGGCCTCTGTGACCCTTCACCCCCATCCTCGCCCGACTCCACTGACTTCCCATCACATAGAGGATACAGTTCAAGATCCTGGTCCTCATCATCAAAGCCCTCCATGGCCTTGCTCCTCCTTACCTCGGTGACCTCCTAACCTACTGCCAACCTGCCCGATCCCTCCGCTCAGCCGATTGTATTGTATCTCATTCCCACCTGCATCCGACAATTCCCGGAGCCTGGAATTCCGACACCTGGGATGAGAATTCCTCTTGAGAAACAAACTCATGAATAGTAAATTTCCCTGAACTAACTGAACTCACTGTTAGCATCCCCTGGCCTTGACCTGTCACTGCGACAGTGAAGTTTTGATTGATGTTGATCTGGAACATAAAAACATAGAATATTAAAAGAGTCAGAACCCCCCCCATCGCAAAGTGCTTCACAAAGCATAGTGACTGTGTGTTTTGTAGGCCAACACAATTTTTTATGTTCAGTAATGTCCCGCAAACAGCCAGGAATTTAATGCAAATTTTATTCGGGGGGGTGGGGGGAGGAGGATGTTCCCCGGTAGGTGATCGTTAACATCTGCCTGAACAGAGCAGAGAGAGAGCTCTGTCTCAATCGAAGCACAAGATTGAATGCAACAGCAACAACTTGCGCCCCTCACTCATGCAGAGCGGGGTGGGTCCCAGAGAGCTGGACAGTGGCAGAGTAGAGCTCCGAGCCGGTGGGAGGTGACCGTAAGCCTCAGGTCTTCAGGCGCGACCTGTAGATGGGTAAGGAAGGGGCAACGCATTGTCCCAATGTGAAAGGCACGGTGTAAGTGTAAATTATATTATATAAGCACTAACCTTTTCAGATTTCGCTACATACACATTTTCTGTGTTAAAATGCCAGGGAATGGAATTTTGCCTGCCCTTGATGGTCAGGGTGACATCCATATTGACAGCTTTGGAATCGGGCATTTGAATCAGGTATGCAGCAAGAGCCTGCAAACCAACAAAGGTGGCCTGAGAGAGAGAGAGAGAGAGAGAGAGAGAAAGAGTTTCATTAAACCATTTCCAATCAGAAGAGACTGGCATTATTTTAATTGCCATTATCTCAAATGCTCTGGGATACTTCTCTGCATGAGGAGCGCTAAATAGATGCAATATTTTGTCCTCCCGACGTGAAAGGCGCTCTATAAATGGAATCTTGTTGTGGTTGTTATCTATTGCCCGTCAGTAATTGTCTTCAAATCTTATCCATGATCTCCACCCGACCTCCGGACCTGCTTCAACCCTGTTGACCAGGCTGTTCGATTCGCTCAGTGAACCGGCTTCTTCCCCATCCCCTCCCAAACACACCCCATTGGGCTTTCAACTGTTCTGCTCCCCCAAGCCAGAGTCCCACCAACTCGCTCGCACTCTCCCCTCGTTCAACGTCTGTCTCAAGACTTAGCCCTATAACCGTGCTTGTGGTCATCTTTCCCCTATCCCTCCCCAGCCTCAAACCCACATCCTTCTGACCACAGCGATGAGAGGGTGACACAGGCTGAGCAACCCCACCCCTCCCACCACGCCCCGCCCCACCCCAGTGTTATTTTTTCGATGTCTTTTAAATTAATTCACTTTATAATGGAAAAACAAAACGTAACCTGGGTGGATTTGAAGCCGCCACCATAATCTCTCTTCGCAGTCATCCACCTCACGATTTTACCAGTTTGCTCGAATTTCTCCAGTTGCAGTAATGCGAGCAGAGCGTATCCTGTGGCTTCGATGGTGTACATGGAATTCTCCTGATTGGCTTTTGCCCAGTAGGTTCCATCTAGAACCGAGAGGAAGGTCCAGGCGAATGGCAGGGAAGTTCAAACAGAAGCAAATTAGAGGGGAACCAAATTAAAGGGGGAACTGAATTACGGGGGAAGCGAATTACAGGGGGAAGCCATTGTAAGTTTGGAGAGTAATTATACGGAGCAAAAACACCACCTTGTAACTGGGGTTCGCCCAGAGGGAAAGAGAAAGAAAAAAAAATTTACCCTCGGAGGCGAACTTCATCAGAATGTCGTCCTTGTGTATCCCCAAGAGCGACAAGGCGTAGGTAGTGATGGCCACGGAGTACGCGCGGGTCAGCTTGGCAATACGGCCTTCCAAATAGGTACCGGCTTTCTGGATGCTGTTTTCATAACTCTGGAACGAATGTCGACGTAAGATTATTCATCGTTAGTTAAAATCGAAATGAAATCAAAATCATCCCATCGGGTCCCCTTTCCAACCCGGGGCTTGGCCATGAGAAGGATCATTGCTGAGGGTCAGGGTTCACTGCTCCTGGGCCCTCCACTGGTTGTGAGGGGAGGTCAGGCCCATCAGTGGTGCCCTCTACAGTCCAATCCCTTTTAAGATATCCATCCATTTCCCTTCGGAAAGCTAATGTGGATTCTGCCTCAACCACGGCTCCCAGCAGCACGTTCCACATCCTAGCCACTCGGGGGAAAAATACTCCCCTTTTACTCGTTTGCTAACTATCTTAAATTGACACCCCTCCAGTCACTGACTCACCAACCAATAGAAATCATTTCTCCCTTTTAAAGCATTTTAAAGACCTCGATCAGGTCGTGCCTCAACCTTCTTTGCTCCAGCAGAAATAGTCCCAGTTCCTCCTGTCACTGCTCATCAGCCAAACCACTCATCCCGGTTATCAATGCTTGTCGGTCCCTTTTCCTGGGAACAATGTTAAATTGTAATACTGAAATACATTACCCCTATGCTTCTTGAGCAGAGATCTTTGGCCTCAATCATTGCGATAAGAACAAACGCAGTCAACGAGGCATCATTTTCAGCCCCGTGCACTCCTCCCTAGAGAAATCGGTTAAAGTGTTACGGTAACAATCCTCGCATTCGATGACGTGCCCTTACCCCTCGCGACCGACACCTTAAATCTCATCGTCGGCTTTTAATAATAATAATCCTTCCGTTTGATACAACAACTTCACACGTTCACAAAGCGTCTTAAAGCCCTTCACAGGGATGTAAAGTGTGATAACTGTATGTTTTGTGGGGGGACATGGCAGCTGATTTGTGCACAGCGACGACACCACGAATCACCAGAGTGAGTAACCAACTTTATTTGGGGGGGAGAGGGGTGGGGAATTGTGTGCCCGGACACCGGGGGAGAGAGAGAGAGAGAGAAAAACTCCCCTTGTCAAGTGAAGTGACTGTGTATGTTGTAAGCAAGCACAGTGGCCAATTTGTGCAAAGCAACACCTGGCACACAGCCCTGAAGTGAATGACTTTATTTGGGGGGCGGTGGGGGGGGGAAAGAGGGAAGGGTCGTGTTGGCCATGACACTTGGAGAGAGACAGACAGACAGACAGACAGAAGAGCAAACTCTTTTCCCTTCTCTTTTCCAACAACACAAACAGGGCACAGATGGGGAAGTTCAGTTCAACGTCTCATCTGAAGGGTCAGGGTCCCTGATGTGTGGCACTCTCTCTCTCCCCAGTTTTATTTACCTGCATTTCGAGGTGAATCACAGCTGCGTCCTCCATAAAGATCCCGTCAGGTTTCTGTTTCCTTAATATTAGCCACTTCAGGTCTTCGCACAAAACCTCAGCTTTTATTGAGATCAGACTTTGGGCCATTGCAAACACCTTCGCCACATACGCGGTCAGCCTGGCGAGACACAGAGTCACAATTAGCCCCACGACCCCCGCAGGGGAGGGGAATAGAGGGGTGTAGGAGAGGGGAATAGAAGGATTTTGGAGTCCTGTAGCTCAGTGGTTAGAGCACTCGCCTCGCAAGCGAGAGGACCTGGGTTTGATTCCCGGGCAGGGCGAACATTGGGCAAGTTTCCTTACTCCACACACCTCTGTTTACCAGCAGTAAGTAGGAACCCGGTTGTTAGTCGATTGGCGGATCGCTTTTCCGGGGGTAATAATTCCTTCAAAAAAATATTGAATTGGGTCACTCAATTTGAGATGTCTCGAAGTCGTGATAAGGTGCTGCGTCAAATACAACAATTATTATAAGGACATAGGAGAGGGAAATAGAAGGATATAAGGAAAGGGGAGTAGGCGCGGGGGGAACTGATGTGGACGAGTTGAGCTTGGCGGCCTGTACAAACTGCAGACAAGACTGACTTGACTGACGTACCAGGTGCTGGAAGGGCGGTTGATGAAGGCTGCATACGATCCTCCTGGCTTGCGAAAAGCCTGCTGTTGAGTGTAACCTACAGTTGAGAGCAAAACCAAACTTTACTGTAACACAGGGCCTTTCACATTGGGAGGATGGACCGAGAAGCTTCAACAACCCTGGCTGTGCACCCGAGCTTGGTTTGGGAGACGAGGTGAGTGGGGAAAGATGTGAGTTGGAACGACTCTGGGATGGAGCTTCAAGGAGTGGGACAGAGGGGCTGATAGCCTGACCAGGTGGCAGTGAGGTTATAATTGGTGGAGGACGTTGGCTGATTATAATGTAGTGAAGTGTGGCAAATGTGGAGGAGGAAGATTAGGAGAACAACAACAACTTGCATTCACACAGCACCCTTCACTCAGGGTAGCGTCTGGGAACACTTAACAGTGGTGGAGTTTGAGCCCGAGTGGGGAGAAAGGGAAGGTGACTGTAGACGCAGTTGAAGAGAGAAGCCTTCAGGCCGACCTGATGACAGGCAAAGAGGAAGTGAAGCAGAGCAGTTGAGGCTGGGGGTTCTCGCTGGTGATCGCCTACCTTTCCTTATGTAGGTTAGCGCAGTCTCTCTGCGGTCCAGGCCCACTTTATCCCACTGAGCGGTTTGGTCCAGGTAATGAGTGACAATCACCCCGGGGGTCATGGAGGCCATATTCTGCTCGCCACACCCAGTTGGCTGTCGGATTAGATGTTTCAGCCTACTCCCATCAATAGAATTTTCAATGGTCTCAGCCAGCACGCTCCCTGTTTTGTTGGTTCAGCAGAACAAAAACAACAACAACTTACATTTACACAGGGCCCTTCACAAGGGGTAGAGTCCTAGTGGCTGGGGTCAGACTCAGAGCGAGGGAGAAGGGGATGGGGCCAGGGGACTGTAGGCACAATCAAAGAGGTAAGTGTTAAGGTGGGAGTTCGATAGATAAAGGGGTGAGGCAAGCAGCATAGACTGTGAGCTCCAAGTCCCCAACTTGGGGGGAGGGGGTTGAACCCACAACATCTTCAGCAACAAGAACAAATGACTTTACACAGCAACTTTCACGTTGGGAGGACATCCCAAGGCGCTGGACAGTCAGGGATTTGGACCTGAGCTAGGGGTTGCAATCAGGAGGGCTTGGACGGCAGGGAGAGGAGAGTGGCCGAAGAGGTAGGTCAGAGGTAGGAGTGGGCCAGGCCATGGGGGACATTGAAGGTGGGGACGAAGATTTTGTACTCTATCCTCGGGAGGATGGGGAGCCAGTGGAGCTGGGTGAGGGTGGGGGTGATAGGGTCATGGAGCCTGGTGCGGGAGAGGACACGAGCTGTAGAGTTCTGAATGATCTGCAGTTTGTGGAGGGAAAAGTTGGGGAAGCCGGCAAACAGGGAGTTAGCACGGTCCAGCCTAGATGTGATAAATGTGTGGGCAATCTTTTGGTTCAAGAGGCGAGAGTGCGACCGACTGAAACACAGGCTGACTCAACCCAAGAGACTCTTAAACGTCAAGAGATTTGTGAAAAAAAAGTCACAAAATGTCCCTCTTTTTAACCTTGAAAGCAAGACAGGTCAAGCGAAGTCTACCCTGGGTGCCTGTACCTTGTACACTGATGAAGGTCTGGGGCTCTGTGTTTGGAACCACATTATCTGGGATTCTATTATCAACTGGGAATTCTTTACGTACACCTATTGAAGAGAGGAAGGGAAAATAAATCAATATAGTTTATATATTTTTTGATGATCATTTTCCAAACTGTGTTGGCCTTGCATCTCATCTCTCCCCCACCCCTCCATCACCTCGAAACATCTCAAAGTGCATTGTGGAGTCTTCCCTGTGAAGTGCAGCGAGTGCTTCCTGTTTCGACTCTCTACCCCCTCCTCGCACCCTCCTTTCCCTCCCCTCATCCTGACCATTTCCCCCCTGCTCGGGTCCTGACCCAACTGTCCAGCGCCTTGGGACATCCTTCCGACGTGAAAGGCGCTCTATAAATGAAATCTTGTTGTTGTTGTTGTTGTTTCTGGGTGCAACGTGCAGGAAGTGATGTCAGTGGCGACCCACCATCGACAGCCGAGCCTTCAGTTCTCATGCCCCTTGACCTTCGGAATTCTCTCCTTCCACTATCCTGTTGCATGCCAACCCCCAACTCCCCCACCCCCTTCTTTTCTGTCTTTAAAGTCTCTTTGAACGTGCCTCATTCCCCTCCCTTTGCTCAATGTCTGACCCCCATCCCTGTGAAGTTAGGCTAAGTGAAGGGTACTGCATAATTGTAAATAAAAATCAAACACACCTTGAGGATCTAATGGGATAGTCTGCACTCTTTCCACCTGTTTGCCCTCGGCCTAAGAAAAAAAATACATTTGTGTGAGTTCCCAGTTCTTAACTCGTTTCAAAGACAGAAAGATTAAAATTATTTGGGGGATTGTTGGCCAGTACATTGGGGAAGAGAAACTCCCTTCTATTTTCCCAATAGCGCTGTGGGGGATCTTTAACATCTGCCTGAACAGAGCACAGACTGGGAGTCAGGTTTCTACAGCTCATCTGAAGGATGAGATCCAGGGGCTTCACCCACTGCATTGAACAGTCTCTCCTGTGAAGCGTTCAACACATCCACATGACGTGAAAGAATCATAGAATCATAGAATTATACAGCACAGAAGGAAGCCAATCGGCCCATTGTGTCTGGTGCTATCCAAATCAACCCCACTCCCCCTCGCTCTCCCCATAGCCTTGCAAATCCGTTCTCCCCAAATATCTATCTACATATCTCTTTTCATGTGGGATAAAGTCTCGGATCGCATAAACAATGATGCCAAGCCGGGGGAGAGAAGGGCGGTGAGTGTTGGCATGGTCGAGGAGGAAGGCGTTCAGTCATGACCTGAAGACGGACAAGGAGGAGCCGAGGATTCAGGATGGGAATGATGGAGATTCGGAGTAAAAATACAGACACTCACCACCACACGAAGGGTCTTCCTCACTCCGTCACTGACAAAAGCTTCATAGACAGAGGCCTTTATTTCGATTGCAATATCTCCAAGCACCAGAGGGATGATGGTGTAGAACACGGCTTCGGAAGACTTTGGGTGAATCTCAACCGTCTGTTTGAACCTCTTCTGTGGTGTTGCCCCACTGCAGATATGTTCATTGTATGGAAACTCCACTTGGACCTGGGAACAAGCAGATTAAATGCAGGTCTTTTTATGGGGTGATAAATAGATACACAGAAGGTACAGCTCAGAAACAGGCCATTCAGCCCATCAAGACTGGCTCGGGTTTATACTCCAACGATGGAGTGTTGATCCTACATCTTATCCTTAGTCCCATATCTCAGCTTTTCCCCCATATCCTCAACATTGCCTCCAGTCTTTTTTTAAGGGGCACATGGTTCCTTCCCCAGCTGGCTGCAGCAGAGAATGCCACATTCCCACCACTCTCTATGTGAAAAAGTTCCTCCTCGTCCCCGTTCGAGATCTCCCGGTTCTGATTGTAAAATAATGCCCTGTACCCCTGGAAATAATCGTTCCCGTCCATCTTATCTAAGCCTCCCGCCATCTTATATATCTCTATCACATCCCCACTCAGTCTTCTGATCTTCAAAGGAATATGTAATAAAACCAGTAATCCCTACATTTGATACAGCGCCTCATCACACCACCGAGACACCTCAAAGTGCTTCAGCGGGATACACTAGAAAGTGACTGTGGGGGATCTTTAATGCCTATCTGAACTGGCCACAGTCGGGGAGAGAGGTTTAATGACTCAATCATCTAATTCCCAGGCCAGAGTGCTACAGACTGAGCCAAGCTGACACCTACATTTCTATAGAATTGATGACTCATTTGAAAGATCGTTCTCTCCAGTTCCTAGATTCAATTCCACTTTGTATTTTGTGGTAACATTTTGTATTTTACTTTGAAATAAAAATCTTGAGTAAGAACAAAACTTACTTTAATCTTCTCGGTGTGGTAATTGTAAAGAATGGCTTTGATTTCCACTTGCTCGTTCCGTATGACCGAATAGGGCAGACGAAGATCAATGAAAAAGTCTTTCATCACTGTCATCTCGTAAGAATCAGACACACAAATACCTGTAGGATACAAGCAGGTCGGGTCAGACCACACTCGTCCCTGTCAAACGTTCATTCGTTCAAATACATTAATAATACCCCTCACATTTGATACAGCGCCTTTCATGTCTCAAAGGGGTTCACAGAATTCACCGTCAAGTGCAGTGACTATTTCTGTAGGCGGCCCATTTGCTCATAGTGACGCCCCGCAAACTGCTGTGAAGTCGACGAACAATTTTTTGTTGGCGGTATTGCTGGCCAGGACATCGGGGAAAGAAACTCCCTTTTCGTTTCGAACAGCGCCATGGCGGGGGGGGGGCTGGGCGGGGGTGGGGGCGGAGAGAGGGTAATCTTTAACATCTTTAACAGACTGTGTGTGGCGGCTGAGAGTTGACGTGTGGCACTGCAGTGCATAACACTCCTCAGAAATATATTGTAGCCTGGACTGCGAGCTCAAAGTCCCAGACGTTGGAGGGGGCTTGAACCCATAACCTTCCAAATGGATGGATTTTTTTTGGGGGTGGGGGGTGCAGCAAACGTAACAGTGTGATGTCCATACCTTTATCCTGTGAAATACTGACCGCCTGCACCTCCCAGGAAGTAATAGAGTCTGGCAGGTGACCTGGTATTTCTTTTGAAGCATAGCTGATTAAGCAGAAAGAGGCTTATTTTCAGTGGACATTTCCACAGCGACATTACCACACCTTGCATTTAACACAGTACAAGTGGGTAGCGCCTCAGAGCGCTTGACAGTGGCAGAGCATGAACGCCGAGTTGGTGGGAGGTGACCGTAGACACAGATGAAGAGGAAGGTCTTAAGGAGGGATCCGAAGATGGACAAAGAGGGGGCGAGGTGAGGGGGATGGAGGCAGGGAGTTCCAGAGTCTCGGAGTATTGGCTTTAAGCATGGCTGCTGATATTGGAGCAGAGGGAACCAGGGTCGCGCAGGAGGCCAGAGCCAGCTGAGCAATGGGAGTGGGTAGAGGAGCGGGATGTGAGCAGAACCCATGTTCTTTTGACCCAAGAGGCAAGGAGAACAGAGAAGACAGGCCAGAGGTTACAACTTCTGATAAATAAACAGGGATTTTAAATGAAACGGATACCCACCCTTCTCTGTCAGTCTCCTTGGGCATGTCGTACAGGTACCAAAGCCAGCTTTCTCTGAAATTACTTCGGGCGAAAATATCTTCATACAGACGATAACCTTGATCATCGTCGCCTGCAAGAGATGAATGGGGGGGAAAGGAAAAAAAGCTTGTGGGACCACGCAGGAATTTGGCACTCCCTACCCACCCGCTTCCTTCCTCAGCTCCCTCCACCCACCATCTCCACATCCCCCTCTCTATAATAATAATAATCCTTGCATTTGATATAGCGCTTTTCACGTCGGGAGGACGTCCCAAAGCGCTTCACAGAATATACTGTAAAGTGAATTGACTGTATATTTGTGGGCGAACGCGGCAGCCAATTGCGCACAGCAATGTCCCACAAACAGTCGTGGATTGAAAATGACCAATTTATTATTGATTTTGGTTTTTGGAGGGATTATTATTATTATTATTAGGCTCTGTGTGGAGTAAGGAAACTTGCCCAAGGTTTCGCCCTCTGCCTGGAATTGAACTCAGGTCTCTCACTTGCAAAGCGAGTGCTCTAACCACTGAGCTACAGGACTCTCTCTCTCTCTCCCCCTCGCTGTCCACCCGCCTGCCCTTTTTCCTGCCCCCACCTCATCAATGGGTGAGCATTCAACCATTTTGCCTTCCTCCCCCTCTCTGTCCATCTGTTTCCTCCCTGCCCCGACCCTCAGCCTCGACTACATTGGTTCCAAGTCGCAGGCCGGCACAGTATCATGTACTTACTTCGTGCTAATGTCATCATACTACTTGCTTCTAATTTCTTCCTTTGCTGGTAAGCGTTGCAGCAGTCCAGGAAGGCATCAACACATTCACGGCTTTGCTTAATGCGTCTTGCTCTGAAGGTACACGAGTAGGCCATTGGAATCGACTTCATTCCATCCCGACAGCATCTCAGTAAACGTTTGAGTACTTGCTCTCTAAAAGAACCAGAGACACGGATACAGTCACCGCAGGACACGGATACAGTCACCGCAGGACACGGATACAGTCACCCCAGGACACGGATAGTCACTGCAGGAGCGGAGCGGGAAGTACTGAGATGCTTTTAGCCCCCTCCCACCACAAGAGGCAAATCCACAATCGGCCGATGAAAACGGCCGCCTTCTGGGTGGTCAGGTCACCGCTGACCTGACTTCGTGCACTCAGCACAGGAAAGGAAGGGAGGTCGGTAATGAGCTGATGAGCTGGCCGGCACTGAGCAAGTGGTGGAGGCCATTTGGCCTAACAGATCTGTGCCGCTGTTGATATTCCACACAGCCCAAGCCCTACTGGGCCTCACTATTCCCCTCACGACTGAGGCAAGATTCCTCTTATATACCTTTGGATCTCCTTAGCTTCATGAGAGTGAGCGATCGACGTTTCCTCTTCTGTATCTGTTTGCACCCGAGTTCTGCAACAAACCAAAGCCAACTTGTCAGTCTGATATGTAATGATAACGTGTTGTTAACCTGGTTCATGGTTTGCACTTCATACAGGCCCAGTAACATGCAACCAGTCTCCCCAATGAGCTTCTCTCTCCCGGTGACCTGGCCATCAATCGCTCATTCACTCCATGGCTGTTTGCGGGACATCTCTGTGTGCAAATTGGTGGCCATGTTTCGCCTTCAAAATACACACGAGTCCCCAGTATGGGTAGTTGAGGCCAGGACACTGGGGCTCGTTTAAATGGGATAATGGTCGGGCGGGTGTGCTGCTGGGATGAAATTAACGGGGTCAAAGTGCCTTCATCCAAACTAATCTTGATAACAATAATCCTTAATCCTAATCCAGTAATTGATGAGACCTTGTGAGATAAGGTCAGGGGCGCTTCTCAGTGACTGGAGCGGTTGCCAAGTGAGGGAGAATAGGGCCGACGGGGGAAAACTGGGAATGGAATTGAAGGGGAAATATCTGAACCGAACCTCTGTGCAATCTTAATTTCAATGGCATTTCCTTGACAGACACTTCTATGTTGAAAGAGTTAATAATAATAACAATCCTGGCATTTGATGCAGCGCCTTATCAAGTCATCGAGATGTCTCAAAGCGCTTCACAGGATACACTGTAAAGTGGAGTGAGACTGTGTGTTATGTGGGCGAAACCCAGCAGCCAATTTGCAGGCCACGTCCCCACAAACAGCCACAAAGTGAGCGATCGATTTTATTTGGGGAAATGATTGGTTGGCCAGGACACCGGGAGATGTCTTTAATTGTCCATCTGAACAAACAGATTGGACCTCGGTTTAGACCATGTGATTCCACTCCCGTGTTTGACCTCACAACGAATTGTCAAAAATGTATTGTAAGTCCTAGCGAACACTACCTGTCCGTGTGGTCGACTTGAACCCATTGCTTGCTGTGAAAGCTAAACCTGCATCACTAAAAACACCAAAGGCATCAGGCCCACTTCCTGCTGTACATCCAATGTCGCTCTCCTCTACTGTGCTCCAGATCTACAGGGAACACACGCGGGAAGTTTAAAAAAAAACATTATTCATCACAACAATAACAACAGGTATCTTGGCATTTGATACAGCGCCTTTCACCGGGGAGGTCAGGATGGCGATTCAAAGCACCTCCCAGGACATTATCCCGAAGCACAGCAATTTGGCGGAAATTTGGAGTCAATATCGCACAAAGGTTTTTTTTTCTGAAGGAAGTTCGACATTCTGTCAGCAGAAGACGATAAAACTATGCGAACCGGACGGACATCAGACTCTAGTTCCCAGAATAGTGTAGCGGGATCCTCACCTTGCTCTGAGTCAGTCTGTTTTTGTTATTCAGCACGTAGATGGCTTTATCCACAGCCACAAGACCAAACTTGGCTCCTGAATCGCCTGTTACTTTCAACTTGAATGCTTGACGTGGGCTATAAATCTTCTTATTGTCCCCTTCGTTGGCCCCAGTGATTTTGAGCTGTGTAGTAATAATAATACTGCTTGTAATTATCATAATAATACTTAAGTTTGATACAGCGCCTTATCACAGCTTTGAGACATCTCAAAGCGCTTCATAGAATATACAGTGAAGTGGAGTGACTGAGTGTTTTGTGGGCAAACGCAGAAGCCAGTTTGAGTACAGCAGTGCCCCACAAACTGCCGTAGAGTGAGTGACCAATTTTATTTGGGGGATTATTATTATTATATTTTATTGAAGGAATTATTACTCCCAGAAAAGTGATCCGCCAATCGACTGACAACCAAGTTCCAACTTACTCCTGGGTAAACAGAGGTGTGTGGAGTAAGGAAACTTGCCTAACGTTTTGCCCTGCCCGGGAATCGAACCCGGGTAGTCTCACCTGCGAGACGAGTGCATAGGATTTTGCTACAGGACTCCTGAGGCATCCCACCCCAGCAATGCATTGGAGCGTCAACTAGACCAAGGTGATTTAAACACCACACCCAGCCCGGCCCGCAAACACGGTCTGGAGCTCTGGCTTGGTCTGACTCGACTGGGAGAAAAAAGCATCACAAGGCATCATTTAGCAGCAGAACCTGTCAATCACTTTCAAACCGGTAACTGGATAGGCAGAGAGACAGAGAGAAATGCAGAGACATCAACAACAACAAAATTACATGTATAGAGCGCCTTTCATGTTGCCTTTCACGTTGGGAGGACGTCCCAGAGACATGAACAAATAGGGAGAGTGAGACAGACATAGAGATAGAGAGACACCCCATACAGACAGAGATACAAAAACATATGCAGACAGACAGATAGAGACACAGAGAGAGACACACACAGACCGAGCGCGAAACACAGAGACACATACCCAGCCAGAGAGAGAGTGAGAGAGAAACACACACAGACTGAGAGAGATACACAGACAGACACACACACACAGAGCGAGAGACACACATACACACACACAGAGAAACACATACAGACAGAGATACACACACACACAGCCAGAGAGAGAGACACACACACAGCAAGGGAGAGAGAGACACACACACACACACCCACAGAGAGAGAGACAGAGACACACACCCAGAGAGAGACACACACACACACACACACACACACAGAGAGAGACGCACACATACACACAGATACACCGAGAGACACAGAGACAAGTACCTCATTGCTGGTTGTATTATTGTTTTAAAATTTGTCTGAATTTTTAAATTGACTAACTAAGGTTTGCAATGTAACCGAAATGAAGTGAACTGAAGTAATACAGGCACACAATTCAAACCAGAGGACTTCGATAGGATTCTTTGTTTCAGGAAGGGAAACGCAAAAATATTGCTTATTGTGAAGAGTCAAAGGGACAGTTCCCAAATCCAGCATCCGGCCCTCAGCAGCCAAAGGGTTGGACCTCCTTCACTTAGACTGTGTGATTTCAAGTCCCGACGTGGGGGCTTGAACCCACAACCTTCTGACTTAGAGGCAACTGAGCCAGGCTGACACACAGAAGAGGCAAACAAGAGGCTGTAAGAGTCAAAGGGGCTCCAGATGATCAGATATCATGGCAATGAACATGCTTCCCCCCACCACCTCCTCCAACTTGGTGGCCTCGGCAAGGCATCAAATAATTACCTCTCGTATATGGCCCCCACGAGCAACGCCCCCCCCCACCACCCCCAGCATAACAGAATATTTACCGATCCCATGCATGTGTCCTTCACATCAATCGAGATGGAATCAGCCACTGATTCAAATTTCCCTCCCACAGCTATGTAGTAATAAGCCACGAGTCGGAACGATGGGATCAGCGCACTGGTGATCGGAACCGTCATCGTCACCACGGTCTGCCCCGGGTCCTTTGGCTGCTTCCCAACTTTCACGATCGCCCCTTTGTTCATCAGCTAAAGCGAGAGGAGAGAGAGCGAGAGAGAGGAAAAATAATTTGAGGAACAAAGATAACAACCGCCCGCCACCCCCCCCAGAAAGAGGATTTTATGGGGTAAAGTTTGCTTGATTTTTACTATTTTGATACAACGCTGCTTCACATCTACACGGTGGTCTTCCCGAGGGGCAGCGTCACTGAACGCTGCTTAACAAAAGCCGAGGGGAGAGGAGAGGGGAGGGGAGCGCAGGAGGGGTTGAAGAGGAAAGCCTTCAGAAGCAATCTGAAGACCGGGAAGGCGGTGGTGGGGCGGGAGGTGGAGGGGCAGAGGCAGTGAGTGACAGAACAGGGTAATACTGGCTGAAAACACACCTCTGACACACAGGGGGTGCAGGTGACCCGAGCTGGCCAAGGGCAAGGGCGCGTGCGAGTGTGTATGTGTTGTTTGTGTGTGTGGTTTGTGTGTGTTGGCAGATGGATGAGGTAGGGAGGTGCCAAGGCGTAAAGTGATTTCTAGGCGAGTGTGAGGAGGTTCTGTGACAGGGAGCAAGTGGTCTCTGTGCTGCTGGGGGCGCGGGTGAGGTCAGGAGTGGCAAGTTTTACACCAGGACTGCAGTCACAAGGCACATACGATATAGCTGATGTGCTTGATCTTCTCGGTAACGGCGGCAGTTTCTTTCGGAACGTGCAGATAAACGATCAGGTTGTCTCCATCTGTCACTTTGGGGTTGATGTGCAAGTAATTGTTTGAGTTAAACATCGTTTTGTAGGCTTTGGCAACCATGGAGGCCGTGGCTTGACGTTCGTTTGGGAGCTCTGGATCTTTTGTTGTAACCTGCACCACACAATGGAAGGACAGAGCCAAAGGGACAGGTCAGGTCAAATGTAACTTAAATGCTGCACTGTAACTGTACAACTCGAAATAAGTCCAATAATCATTAATAATAAGTCTTGTATTTGATTCAAGGCTCTTCATCCGAATCCAATTTCATCCCTCCACGACACCCGCCCTACCCTTCCCCCACCCCCACATAACAGCATCCAGCTACTTAGTAAAAGGGTTCTCAGTCTCCTGGCCTCAACCCTGGCCTGGAGTCCTGCAGCTCAGTGGTTTACAGCATTTGCCTCGCAAGCGAGAGACCTGGGTTCGATTCCCAGCAGGACAAACCTTGAGCAAGTTTCCTTACTCCACACACCTGATAATAATCCCTCAAGAAAACAAATAAAAAAAATTTAAAAAATTAATAATCTGGTCACTCAATCCACGACTGTTTGTGCGACGCTGCTGTGCACAATTGGCTGCTGCGTTTCGCCCACAAAATATAGTCACTTCACTTTACAGTGTATCCTGTGAAGCGCTTTGAGGCTTCTCGAAGACGTGATAAGGCTCTGTATCAAATGCCAGGATTATTATTATTATAAAAGAAGAAGCAACATTAACAAAATTACACTGCAAAGCGCTTTTCACGTCTGGAGGAGGTCCAAAGGCACTGGAAATAGTAAGTGGTGGAGTGCTTACGGTTATTTTGATAACTGTTGACGATCCTGGTGTGTTGATAACCATTCTGGCTTTCCCATTGAGTCCGGTGATGGATTCGCTGTGGGCCGTATCATGACTCCCAGACAATTCGATTCTTCTGGCTGGGGTACCGTCAGGGTTTGTGACAGAGACCTTAACAACAATAACAACAACTACTTAACCTTTACACAATGCTGTTCACATCTGTGTCGGGATAGTGGTGGGGGCGGAGTGATCATAAGTGTGGTTGAAACAAGATGGGCTTTAAATTAAATTGGGGGGTGAGGGAAGAAGAGGGAGGAAGGGGCAAGGTGGTGAGACTCCAGGCTTAGTTTTTTGGGGTAACTGCATCCCAGCTATAAGGAGGTCAGACCAGGAGCAGAGTGGAGTTTGAGCCGGGAAAATAAAAGGTCCAAAGTTTTAAAAAAAGCAATTATTAATAAAAACACACACACACACTACACACAGCCCCATACACCCCCACACCCACCCTCGGCACTAAAGCAAAAAGGAAAACACAAAAAAGGGTTACGTTTACCATGAAGTCAAAGGGTATCCCTGGTTTGTAATACTCTGGTGTTTTAGTGAACAGTATTACGTATGGAGATTTGACGATTTTGGTGGCAGAGTTTTCTGCTTCTACCATATCACTTCCTGGAAGAAACAAGTGGGGAATTAGAAAAGAAACTTACAAAGTGTAAGCAGTTTATAAAACAATTGGCTGATTCACCCACGCAAAGCGGAAACCCATCCCATGATCAACCGGGTGTCTGACCCACGCGGAAACCCATCGCCGTGATCAACCGGGTGTCCAAACAGTTGCAGGGTTTACCTGTGCGGGTTATCACGCTGACAATGACGTAGATCGAAAATCCAACAAGCTTTTCCAAGGGACCCAAAGCCTCAGATATTGTGTTACTCTCCAGAAAAACCGACGCTTTCCCCTCAATAATCTGAAAATAAACACACACGGTCAGACGGGTAAAAAGCTTTTAAATTAATGAGAACACACAATCCCTGCATCTGTCCAGTTCTATTCACATCCTCGAGGCATCTCAAATGCTTCACAAGATTTTACTATCGAGCGCAGTGACTGTGTGTTTTGTGGGCAAACACAGCAGCCGATTTGTACAATGACGTCCCCCAAACAGCTGGGAAGGTTACGGGTTAGCTGTCGGTGTTGTGGGGCTTGAACTCACAACCTTGCGAAGGGGCAGCAGGATGGACCAGGGCGTGACTGTTGTACTCACATCGGTGGACTGAAGGGACGATGGGATTAGTACTTTATCTTTGTCCGTCACCACCCCGAAGAGAGCGAACGCACGGCCTTCTATGGATTCGCCATAGGTGTATCTAAATAAATAAATAAATAATAATAATCCTTGCATTCGATAAGGTGGCATTCAAATCACGAGGAAATCGCTTCACAGGATTTACAGTAAATTCAGTCACCCAACGTGGCAGCAAGTTTGTGCTCAGGGACCTCCACACGAAGTGAGCAACTTACTTTATTTGGGTGACTGCCACCCAGGACACTGGGAGAGAGAGATCTTTACCATCAGACGGGGAGCTCGGTTTAACATCTCATTTGAAGGATGGCACCTGCGGCAATGCAACACCCCCCCAACCCCAGCACTGTATTGGAGCATCAGCTTAGACTGTGTGATTCTAAGACCTAATGTGGGGCTTGAATCTGCAATCTTCTGACTCAGAGGAGAGAGAGAGAGCTGCCCCTGAGCCTGGCTGACTGACAAAGTGTAAACCCTAAATTCGGAAGTGGGGTGAGGTGAGCACGGAACAGAAAGCAGATTTCCTGTCTGCTCTCTTCTCCCCGACAAGCCCACTGACCTAGCCTTGATGTCCACGTCCAACTTCACGTCATCCACGTAGAAAAAATGCTTCCTCGGTTCTAACACGACCTCGAAGCTTGGGAGTACTGCGTGTTATTGAAGAGGAAAGTGGTATTTTTAGGCTTACAGTACAACACAAATTTTAAAGTGCAGTGACCACATGATTTGAGGGCAAATGTGGCAGCCAAGGCACGCACAGCGTGAACAACTAATTTTTACTTGGGGGATTGTCGGCTACGACACTGGGGTGCGTATGAATGTGTGGGTGTACGTGTGTGTGGGGGGAACTCCATCTCTTTTTCAATAGCGCCACGGGGATGTTTGAACATGAACAGGCACCGGTGGTGGTGGGGGGGCAGGTCAATTCCATCAACAGTAAGGGAGCAAAATGGTCGACTGCTTTGTTCAGTGGGATCCCTCACCGTATTCCTTGACCTCGAATTCCGTTGTATAATTGTAGGTCTCATCGGTATCATACTTTGCTACAATTTTCCAGAACCCAAACCTGGAAGTAGAAATGAACCGACATTTAGTTAAGAAAGAATAATAATCCTCATGTTGGACACAGCGCACTAGCGGGTCGTCGAGACATGTGGGAGGAACGCAGCACGTCTTCCAAACAGCCGTGAAGTGAACGAACGATTTTATGAGAGAGAGAGAAATTCCCTTCTCTCCTAGAGTTCCTAGACGTTGCCTCCGACATGCCGGGGTGTGCACTGTGAGCTCAGGACTCAAACCCACAACCTCCTGACTCAGAGACGAGAGAGCGCGCGAGAGAGCAACAGGCTGAGACTGCACCGTGGTTAATGACTGGCCGAGCAGCGTCCCCTCTCCATCAGGGACAAATTTGGGAAGTGCTACTTACTGCACCAGCTCTGGGATAGCGAACGTGCCCGTGCTGATTCCAGACGACTTCATTCTGCTTTCTTTATTTATCTGGACCTGCTGCACGGTGACACCCTGTGGGGTCTGAGAGGAGGAACGAGCTGTGAGAGTAAGCAGAGATCAGGGCTCCACTAAACCCGTTGAGGCACGGGGAGGAGGGGTGGGGGTGAGGGGATGGGCAGAGGGGCTGACACGTGGACAGGTACATGACGTCAGAGACCTTTTCATAGCATCATATAATTATACCTCGGTGACAATATGTCCACTGTTAATATACAAAATCTACGTGAGAATATATCAGGTCAGAGCCTTACCAAAATTTCAACAGTTGCCTTTTTGTTGTTTGGCTTCAGATCCCTGTCCACAGTGAGCAATCGGTAAAGCACTAAGAATGGAGACCAGAGACACAACGACAGAGAAACATTAATTAATTCATGCGCATTTTGTGTGTTAGAATATAAATCCCCCCCCCCCACCCCGGGGTTTATTCAATACACCCCAGAGGGAGGGAAGCTATGCTCCTGCGTGAAGGAGTGCATCTGAATCTTCTCATTTCAGGTTAGTGAAAGCCCTGAAACCCCACCCCTAACACTATCCAGAATTAGGTAAGCAGAGGGTGCCACCACCCTCGAGGGGGAGAGCGAACAATGTGATTCCATTCCCAATTCCACGTGACAATTATAGAATTCTTGGGCTGGTTTGGGAGACAAGTGACAGATTTCCACGTGGATGAGAAACATGGCCGATTGCAGTAACGGGTTTCCTCGTGTGCGGGTGAGACACTCGGACGGGTGACCAAAAATAATTTGCTGAAGGAGTTACCGTTTTGCAATGGTGTGTAGATTGGTTTATCAGTCTGGAGGAACAGGTGACCAGTTTCGTATAAAAGAAGAACTTCTCGGTTCAATTCGAAGTTTGGGAACCTGGCGTTCACGATAACATACTGTTTAAATCTCGTTTTAGGAACCCGATCAGCTGGAATCTGGGCAGAAAACAGGTGGAAAGAGATACGTCATTAATAATAATCCTCGCATTCAGTACTGCGCCGTAACCCGTTGAAATGTCTCAAAGTGCTTCGCAGGAATTCACCGGGGAGGAGAGGCAATACGTTACCGAGGTGTTGAACCCACACTACCACATTGAAACAGGGTTGGTCACCTAAACTTATAACTCCCTTCGCTCAGTGGGGCTCACCTCCGCTTTGTGTCTTGTGCCCCAACCTCGGGTTCAGGCTTTCAGCCTATCTGCCCTCACCCTCTGGAGTTCCTGCTACCTCACCCCTTTAAGGTCCGTCTCAAAACTTTATTCTTGGCCGCTCTTTAGGTCATTGTTTCCCACCTTAACCCCCACCCCAGCTCGGGTGCAAACCCTGGACTATCCAGGATCTTGGGACATCTTCCCGATGTGAAAGGCGCTGTATAAATGTAAGTATTAACTTGCGGTTTACGTCCTCAGCTGATTACCTTGATTTCCACAGAGGCCGGGTTATTATCTTGTGAGAGATGGACTTCGGTAGAAAACAGAATTTCAGACTTGGCAGGAAAGTCTTGGACACGGATTTGCACTTGAAAGGCACTGCTTGTGTCATGAGATTCCACAACAATCTTTTCGAAGATGTCGACCCTCAGGAGATTTGGAGTCGTTAGAGTGTAGCTGGGGAAAGACAACAAATTAACAGGTAATTAATATAATTACAGTAAAACTCCTGGTAACTCCTCAACCCTGGCTTAACTTGTCACTACCAAGTAGTCATCGTGCTGTCAATATTTTGGCCGTGTTTATTTATGCATTTATACATATGCCTAACTCACCCACTCTGGATAACTCGTCAGAGCCCTTTTCATAGCATCATAGAATTATACAGTATGGAAGGAGGCATTCGGTCTGCGCTTTGAAAAGAGCTTCCAAATCAATCCACTCCCCCGCTCTCTCCCCACAGCCCTGCAAACTTGTCTTCCCCAAATATCTATCCATTTCTCTTTTGAAAGTTGTTATTGAATCGGCTTCCACCAGCCTTCCAGATAGGTGTGACAAGTTATCAGTTTACTGGACTACTACTAATAACTATCTTTACATTTTATACAGCGCCTTTCACATCAGAAGGATATCTCAAAGCGCTTCACAGGTGTTTACTGTGATGTGCAGAGACTGTGTAGTTTGTGGACAAACTCGGCAGCCAATTTGCGCTTAAAAAGGCATTCCCGCAAACAGCCCTAAAGGGAACGACTACATTTATCTGGGGGGATTGTTGGCCAGGACATTAGGAGAGACAGAAAAAAAATCTCCCTTCTCCTTTCGAATAGCGCCACGGGGGATCTTTAGTGTCTGACTGAACAGGACACAGCCAGCACGGGAGGGTGGGGGGTAATGTTTCAGCTTCACGGCTATTTGCAGGGATGTCACTGCACGCAAATTGACTGCCCCACTTGGTCACAAAGCACACAGTCGCTCCCCTTCCACAGTAAAATCCTGCGAAGCACTTTGAGACGCCCTCCTGACATGAAAGGCAGTGTATCAAATGCAACGATTACTATTATAGGAAATAGGAATATTAATACTTACAGTGCACCACATTGGGAGAAAGCAGTGAAATACGTCCACAGGACCAGATACAGACATGTCCCCTTCATGGTGACAGACTTTCACTGGGACTAAACCTCCCCAAAAATCTTGTCAGTTTATATGTGGGAATGATATCTATTAATCTTTAACATTGGAGGTGGATTTGCACCATTCGTTTTATCTGTGAACATATTTATTTAAGAGTTGATCGCAATCCAGCGGACAAGGCGAATTCCAGGAAGCAAACAGTTTTCTGGCATGAGGGACGGTTTGACCTTGTCTAATCATACAGTGAACACCTGATATCTCTCTGCTCCAAGGAAAAGGGCTCAGTGGCGATTTATCAAGAATGGCAACTTAGGCAGATGTATAAATTCATAAACAAACGCGGCCAGGATATTGGCAGCACGATCACAAGTTAAGCCAGGGTCGAGTTATCGGGAGTTACACTGTCATAATAATCCTTGCAATTGTGACAGCGCCTTATTATCTCATCAAGATGTCTCAAAGCGCTTTGCAGGGTGTTACTGTGACTGCGCGTTATGGGGATGAAGGTGGCAGCAGATTTGCACACATTTGACATCACCGTACAACAACAACAACAACAAGATTCCATTTATAAAGCGCCTTTCACGTCAGGAGGACGTCCCAAGGCGCTGCACAGTTGGGTCATGACCCGAGCATTGGGGAAATGGTCAGGGTGAGGGGAGGGAAGGGAGGGAGCGAGGAGGGGGGAAATGGTCAGGGTGAGGGGAGGGAAGTGAGGGAGCGAGGAGGGGGGAAATGGTCAGGGTGAGGGGAGGGAAGGGAGGGAGCAAGGAGGGGGAAGAGAGTCGAGAGGGGAGCTGAAGGCACGGTCAAAGAGAAAGGTTTTGAGACCGGCCTTGAAGGAGGAAAGGGAGGAAGCGGCGAAGGCACTGGGGGATGGAGTTCCAGAGCCTGGGGGCTGAGAGGCTGAAGGCCCGACCACCGATGGTAGGGCGATTGGGGCGGGGGACGTGGAGCAGACCGGAGCCAGAGGAACGGAGGGTACGGGCAGGTAGGTAGGGGGATAGTAGGTTGGAGAGGTAGGAGGGAGCGAGGCCGTAAACAGCCATCCCCATCCCACTGGTTTTATCCATGGGATTGTCGGCCAGGACCCCGGTGGGGGGGGGGGTACAGTTTAAAAAAAAATTTGAAAACAACAAATTGTTATTAGGACATCTGTAAACACAGAGGGAGATTATACGAGATCCTGTTGTGAAACGCATCTTAGGACAAGTTTACCTCAGATAAGGTGACCTTATGATTACGGACAGACTTGCAATGTGACTGAAGCTCGGAATAAGTCATTTAGGTCCTTTCTAAGTGTGTCAGTCTGGCTCACGTGACAGCACTCTCGCCTCCGAGTCAGAAGACTTTGAGCTCACGAGGTCTAGAACAAAGCTCCAATGTAGCGCTGGGGGTTGGGTAGGTGGAGGGGTGGGATTGCGAGCCACCTAGTCCGTGCCCTATTCAGACAGACGTTAAAGATCCTCAAAACGCTTCACAGAATTTACTGTGAAGTATTTTGTGGGCAAACGCAGCAGCACAATTGCACACAGCAACATCCCACTAACAGCCATGGAGTGAGTGACACGTTTTTATTTGGGGGGATTATTGGCCAGACACCGGGAGAAACTTCTTTCTCTTTTCGAGCCATGGGAATCTTTATCGTCCACCTGAAGAGGCAGACAGGACCTCAGTTTAACCTCACTTGAAGGACGGCATCTCCAACAATGCAGCGCACCCGCAGCACTGAACTGATATGTCATCTTACGGATGTGCCTACGTGTGTGATTCCAAGTCCTGACATGGAGCTGGAGCCCCCAACATTCTGACTCGAGAGGCGAGAGAGAGAGAGAGAGCTACCACTGAGCCAACCTGACAACGTACATGAAGGGGGGTATACACATGTAGAAGGATAGAGACTTGAAGGGTTTGGGGATAGGGTGCAGACAGTGAGATTGAGTGGAAAGCTTGCTCGGAGAGCTGGGACGGACTCGATCGACCGAATGGCCTCCTGTAGGTGCTACAATTCTAAACCCCTCTAAATCAATCAATCCATCAATCCATCAATCAATCAATCAATTTAAAAAAGAGTGAGACGGGGTGGAATTTTGGGCTCCGATTCTCTGCCATCGATAATGACTAATTTGTTCCTCTCTGTGTTCACAGTGTAAACAGTCAAATGCTGCGCAACACAGAGTCAATAACACAAGAGTTCAAAGAACCGCTCGTTTACTCAGCTTCCCCCATAATATTGTTCAATTAAAGGTTCTAGCGCAGGGAACGTAGAATTCCCCCATGTTACACAGCCCAGCCATTCCCCACCACCTCAACTATCCTGACCGACAAGTCCCTCCTTCCCCCACCCCACCATCACCACAGCTACAACTGGTCGTTCACTTCACGGCCATTTTTGCGAGATGTCAAAATGTGTAAATTAACTGCCGCGTTTGCCCACAAAACACACGACAACTTGCGTTCACGTAGCGCCCATCACATAGGGCATCATCTTGGAGAATTGCACGGTGGGCGGCGGGAGGGGGGGGATCATCGCGCAGTTGAAGAACTAGGTCATCAGTTGGCTTATCTATTAAAGATAAAGAGGGCACAGGCGGAGGAGTAGTAGGGGCAGGGAGTCCAGAGGTTAGAGGGCGCATTGGCTGAAGGCTCGGCCACTGATGGAAGTTGGCCTTTCAGGCCAATTGACCAACTGGCTGAGCTAAGCTCACTGATCGAGTTAAAGCGAGCGAGGGAATTGAACCTGGGGCGTTCATCTGCACTCGCTGGAGAAACCCATAGGGAGGGAGGGAGCCGGGAGGGAGGGAGAGAGAGAAATGGGGATTTGGGGGGAAAATCAATCCACAGCATCCAAAAAAATTAAATTAAGCCCTGCGTTGTAGTCAGCAAACCAACCTAAGATGTCCGGGCAGCGTAACCCGCTGAGCTGGGCTTGGTACCCTTCCCTATCTAATTTATTTAAAGTGAATCCACTTTACAGTACATCCTGTGAAGCTCTTTCAGACGTCTCAACGACGTGATAAAGAGCTATATCCAAATGCAAGGATTCTTCTTCTTGTTATTAAAACTCTGAGCCGACCTAAGGCAGCTGGAAACCGCCTGTAATCAGTGTCCACGGTGGATTACCGGTCCGAGTGCACAAAGGTGACGTAAACATCCCTCGCTTAAGCTGCCAGCTTATCCCATCTCTCCAGCCGCTGAGCCTCTCCAGTGTCCGGCTCAGGCTCCTGGGCTCTGTCAGCAATGGCGAGCGACGGGCAAAAAGTCGTGCTGATCACTGGCTGCTCCTCGGGGATCGGTCTGAGGCTCGCTGTGCAACTCGCTAGCGACCCACTGAAGCGATTTCACGGTAGGTGGCTTGCTGATGGCCCATGCTGGGCTGTCTCGTGCCGGAGCTCAGCCGCCGGCCAGCGCTCTGGTCTCCGAGTTGGGAGGTTGTGGGTTCGAGTCCCCTTGGGTTGAGTTCACACGGTCCAGACTGACGCTCCGGTGTGGCGCGGGGTGGGGGGGGGCGTGTGTGTGTGTGTGTGCGGGCGGCATTAAACCGAGCTTCCTCCCCGTTCAGGCAGAAGTTAAAGAAGCTGTCGGAAAAGAGAAGAGTTTCTCTCCCCCACAACCCGTGTTCTGCCTGACAAATTGCCCCCTCCACCCCCCACCATAAAATCACTCATTTGCTTCCTCGCTCTTCTCGGGGACGTCGGTGTTGCAATTCAGCTCCACATTCGCCCACAAAACACACAGTCACTGCACTCGACAGCGAATCCGGCAAAGTGCTTTGAGACGGAAAGTAATAAGGTGCTGTCTAAATGCGAGGATTATTATTATCATCAATTATTAATTAACGTTAAGATCATTAGCAAACAAAAAAACTGCAGTAAAGTCTATTTCGTCATTTTTATTTTTTACATGGACCAAAGTTCACCCCCAAATCAACTCGATTATTTTACTGCAATTCAAGATGTGTTTGTGTTTGTTATGAAACAGTCCAGTACAGGGTCATTTATCTGGAGTGTTACAGTGATTTAGTTCGAGAAGATTAGGTGTAAAAGGATTAACGGGGACATGTGCTACATTTATATATAATAAGCTTTCTGTCTAATTCTGATCACTAAATTACAGCGACGCCAGTGGCCCACAAAAAACACAGTGAAATCCTGCAAAGCACTTCAAGACATGAAAAACAGGTGTGGAATGCGAAGATTACTAACGATTGGGTCGACATTCAGAATTTTATCATAGTAATAATAATAATAATAGTCCTTGCATTTGATACAGCGCTCTTCACGTCTTCTTGACGTCTCAAAGCGCTTGACAGGATTTTTTTTTCTCTTGAGAGGGGGAAATTCCCGTTACTTGAATACCATCTTAATAATAACTCATATAGTCATCTTAGACTCTACGAGTTTCACGTCCCCCACCCACTTGAACCCACAATCTTCTGACTCAGAAACAAGAGAGCTGCCGACTGAGCCAGAGGCCGACAATGTTTAATAGAAGAGAAAGTGATTCAAATCTGTGGGATCAGTCAGCCTTCCATGTCGAGAGGGTGTCTCGAAGCGTTTGGGTGGGATTTAACTGTGAAGCGGAGTGACCGAGTTAACGCTATTCTTTGGTCTGTGTGGGGGCTGTGGTGGGGGCGTCTGTATGGAAAGTTATCGCGACAATGAGGAACTTGAGTAAAAAAGGGAAGTTGGAAGAGGCGGCTGGAGCGACGCTGAACAAAACATTACACATCGCACAGCTGGACGTCTGCTATGATGAGTCTGTGACCCAGTGTCTCAGCAGCATTCAAGCCGGGCGAGTCGATATCGTGGGTAAGCGAGTGAAGCTTTGTGTACTCAAGAGTAACACACAACCAGACAGCGTGCAAACAGGCCTTTACACCCAACTCGTCGAAGCCGGTGTTTATATCCCACCTTCCTGACACCCTTCTAGTCACTTCTCCCTTGTGTATTCATTAAATACCACCCGATTCTTCTCTGCCCCCCACCCTACCTATCCCTCCCCACCTCTACCTGTCCCATCACCAACCATTCTGCTTCCCCCCAGTACTCCAGCCAACTCCCCTACTCAGTGAGAGAGCTTGATAGGGTGTGCAGTTGGGCTGATAACTGGTACATTAAGTTTATTGCAGAGGTAAGCTCTCTGGAACTCCATCACGGAGTCCCTACATCTCTGCATCAGGTTTCCTCTTAAACACTTAAAAGATTTCTGCTTTAACCCAGCAGTAAGTTCCACATTCTCATACCCTCCCCATGAAGAAGCTCCTCCTAAACTCTCCATTCAATCTACCGCTGTCTATCTTCTATTGACGATATTAATTTGTTCTATTCGTTTACCCCGAACACACACCTTCCCCAGACTCTTCAGCAATTGGAAATAGCTTACCAACATCCTCCTTAATGAATGCTTCACACACAGTCACTACACTTGAACAACAACAACTTTTTGTTCATGTATCACGGGGCAGTGTTTTGGAGGGTTGATAGCATAACTTTGGAAAGCGCTTTGAGATGTCTCGATGACATGATAAGGCGCTGCATCAAATGCGAAGATTACTATTGTTATTAACATCAGAATTATTTTGATCAAGTCAACAACGCAGGGGTTGGAAAGATAGGACCAGTGGAAAGCCTGAGCATCGAGGAAATGAAAACTATCTTTGAAACAAATTTTTTTGGGGTTGTTCGTATGATCAAAGCTCTGCTGCCCGACATGAAGAAAAGGCAAAGTGGCCACATTGTCGTGATGAGCAGTGTCATAGGTCTGCAAGGTACAGGCGCTTAAATTCATGGCATTTTTCTTTGATCATCCAGGAGTCTGACCTCCACGCGTGAAAACCCATCTCCTTGCTTCGAGTCTCCAAAACAGACCTAGAGTCCTACACGTGCATATGCACCTACACGTGGAAATCTCCCCATCTGGCACACACTCTCTCTCCCCCCTCGAGAGATGTACCCCACTTACCTCATTCTGGAGGGTACTAGATTAGGGGAGTGGAGGGTTATGATGGGGTGGGGGGGGCGGGAGGGGGCAGCTGCATATTCTGATGTGCCGGTTTAGACATTACTGCATAATTTAGATGTGGTGGCTGAAGTAACGACACCCAATGATGGTGCGGGGATGGGGGTGGGGGGAGGTCATCCGAGTTAGCTAAGCGAAGGGAGGGATGGGTTCGCAGGAGAGTGGAGTACGAGTAAATCAGAGAAGTAGGGAGAGGTCTTTCATAGCTACTGGGATACAATTTAACAGGACTTCTTTTTGCTTAGGAGTGGTATTTAATGACGTGTACGCTGCCTCCAAATTTGCCATCGAGGGATTCTGTGAGAGCCTTGCGGTTCAACTTCTGAAATTCAATATCTAGTAAGTTTTGACTTTTTGATACACAGATTTTAGCTGTTGGGTAAACTCCAGCAGTTACTTGGTTAAGGTACCCTCCCCACCAATGGACTCTCTAAGGTCCCCAGGCCTTGGCCATCCCCACCCTGCCTAATACTCTCCAGAATTGGGGGTCAGCTCATTCAGAGGCACTCTTGCCTCTGGGCAAGATGCATCCCTCCCGGGACCAAGAGAGAGAGGGGGGGAGAGAGAATGTGCATTCCATTTCAAGACACAGAGATTTCTGTGTGCAGGTGACTTACCGACTTGGGTTTAGAGACCCCTAAACACAGCGAAGTGTTTCCCCGTGTCAGACCCTCAGCTGCCCCAATAACTAACCGAATGAAACAACATAGGTATATGACTTGACCAGATTAATTTTGATTTTATTTGAATTGATTTAGCGTGTCAATGATTGAACCAGGTCCGGTCAACACAGAATTCGAGATGAAGCTGATGGAGGAGGTGTCTCAATCAGAGTTCCCGGGAGCAGACCCAGTGACCGTCCAGTATTTTAAGGACGTCTATCTTCCTGCTTCCCACGACATCTTTATGACAATGGGTCAGACTCCGGACGCTATTGCACAGGTATTCAGCAAACTCACAATCCGGGCTCATTAACCAGCACAGTGCTGGGGGGGTATTGTGGGATATATTGTGAGATGATGAGATGTTAAGACCGAGCTCCCCCCACCCCCCACTCCCCCCAGGATAAAACCGGTCATTCACTTCATGGCTGTTTGCAAGGACGTGGCTGTTGTGTTTGCCGACAAGACACACAGTCACTACAATTTACAATGGAAATCCCGAGGAAGCGCTTGCTTTGAGGCGTCTTCCCGGTGTGATAAGGAGCTCTATCGAACACAAGGATTATTATTATTATTATTATAAATAACTAAATGTCAAAGAAACACAGATGTTGGGATTTGCAACAAAAAAACAGGATCGAATCTGTGAGGTCTGAAGCACCTTTGATCGTTGAAAACATCGGGACATCTGCTAACAGCGTAAAAAACAACTATTTAGGTTATTAACTATATTCCGCGGTTATTCTAAAGTACTTCTTTTTTCCCAGGCAACTATGAAAGTGATCAGCATGGAGAGGCCAGTTTTTCGTTACCAAACGAATGTACTCTACACACCTCTGATAGCAATGAAATATGCGGACAACACAGGAAACCTGTCCGTGCGTACGTTTTATAATTTGCTCTTTAACCACGGGACCATGTTCAAAATTAGTTTAACTCTCCTCAGGATCATAACTTGCAATTGCTTTCGCAGCGGTGAGATTTCACCGAACTGACCGATAAGGTTCAACAGCCAAAATCAACCACAACGGCAACAGAGTGGTTTCCCCCACACAATATACAGTCACTACACTCCACAGTATATTCTGTGTGTGGCACTTTTGAGACAAGATAAGACGCTACATCAAATGCGAGCAATATTATTATCAACAGCATCCGCAACATCATCATGACGAACCTTTAGGCCCCCCCACTCTGCTCTCTGGAACTCCATCCTGGAGTCCACCAACTCCCCTCCCCTCCCTCCCTCCCCTCCCTCCCTCCCTCCCCTCCCCTCCCCTCCTCCCTCCCTCCCTCCCCTCCCCTCCCCTCCCCTCCCTCCCTCCTTTCAAAGTACGCCACAAGACTTACCTCTTTGACTGTGCTTTTGGTCGGGAGAGAGAAACTCCCTTCTCTTGTCGCGTCGCATCGCTGTGGGGGGGGGCGGTGGGTAGGGGGGGAATCCTTAACCTCTACCTGAAACAGGTCATGAATGGGGAAGAGCTCAATGAGGCCAAACTGTTCTTCTCCCGGTTCCCCCTTCGTGGTCAGATTGGGTCGTTATGTTTGCTGTGCTATCCTAATAAATATGGTCCTGTCTGTAACTTGACCTCTCCGGCGTTCCCAGTACTTGGCAATCCTCCCGACCCTCATCACAGGACCTACCTCTCTGTGACCGCTCTTTCGGTCATCTTTCCCCTCTCCCCCCAAACCCCCTCGAGCTCTCACGGAGTCTGTGTATTTTGTAGGTGAACGCACAGCGCTATTCCCTCTCCTTAGTGGAGTCCTGAGGCTCAGTGGTTAGAGCACTCGCTTTGCAAGTGAGAGACCTGAGTTCAATCCCCGGCAGAGGGCGAAACCTTGGGCAAGTTTCCTTACTCCACACAGAGCCTAATAATAATCCCTCCCAAACCAAAACTATAATACATTGGTCATTTACAATCCACGACTGTTTGTGGGACATTGCTGTGCGCAATTGGCTGCCGCGTTCGCCCACAAATATACAGTCAATCACTTTACAGTGTGTTCTGTGAAGCGCTTTGGAACGTCCTCCCGACGTGAAAAGCGCTATATCAAATGCGAGGATTATTATTATTATTATTATTATATTATTAGTAGTGTTTTCAGATGAGCAATCTGTGTGGTTTTAGCTGATTACACTCCGGCAGTAATTCCCCCCACTCCCCTCCCCTCCCCATGCAGACGCTCATGTTTATTATTATTATATTATATATATTATATTAATTATATATTATATCATTATAATCATTAATCGGTTTAGATTAATTCATTCACACGATGCAATAATGCATTAAAATAATTTTTTAGAAAAAAAACAAATCGGAAGACATTAAATTAAAAGGAAACTTTAAGCGAAAAGTCAGAAGTCAAAGTAAATAAAATCAAATAAAGAAATAAAATTACATCAAATAAAATATAACAAAATCGAACAAATTAACGTAAATTAAAATTGAATTACAACATAATAAATAATAAAATAAAACATAATAAAATTGCATAAAATTAATGATATAATTAAAGTTAAACTGCAGAGAACATAACATATAAAATAAAATAAAAGGACATAAAGTACAGTAAAAATGACATAAAATTAAATGAAATAAAATTCATTAAAAACGTGAAAAATAACAAAATAATCAAATGTAATAAATAAAATGAACCGATAATGACGGTTATACCCCCAACTGCAGACCCCCCCTCACCCCCTCCCCCCGGGGCCCGGACCCCCCCTCACCCCCTCCCCCCGGGGCCCGGACCCCCCCTCACCCCCTCCGCGCCGGGGCCCGGACCCCCCCTCACCCCCCGGACCCCTCTCCCCCTCCGGTTCCCGCGGCTCTGACCGCTGTAGAGCTCTCGGCGCCGCCACAGTCCCCGCACTCCCGGAGCGTTCCTTCGGCGCGTGTGGGTGTGTGTGACTGTGACTGTGTGGGGGGTGTCTGTGTGTGGGGGTGGGGGTGTGTGTGACTGTGTGTGGGGGTGTGTGTGACTGTGTGGGGGGTGTCTGTGTGTGGGGGCGTGTGACTGTGTGGGGGGTGTCTGTGTGTGGGGGTGTGTGTGACTGTGTGTGGGGGTGTGTGTGTGTGGGGGTGTGTGTGACTGTGACTGTGTGGGGGGTGTCTGTGTGTGGGGGTGTGTGTGACTGTGTGTGTGTGGGGGTGTGTGTGGGGGTGTGACTGTGTGTGGGGGTGTGTGTGGGGGGTGTGTGTGACTGTGTGTGGGGGTGTGTGTGTGGGGGTGTGTGTGACTGTGTGGGGGTGTGTGTGACTGTGTGTGGGGGTGTGTGTGTGGGGGTGTGTGACTGTGTGTGTGTGTGTGTGTGTGACTGTGTGTGTGACTGTGTGTGGGGGTGTGTGTGACTGTGTGTGGGGGTGTGTGTGGGGGTGTGTGTGACTGTGTGGGGGTGTGTGTGACTGTGGGTGTGTGTGGGGGTGTGTGTGACTGTGTGTGTGTGTGGGTGTGTGTGGGGGTGTGTGTGACTGTGTGTGTGTGGGTGTGTGTGGGTGTGTGGGGGTGTGTGTGACTGTGTGTGGGGGGGTGTGTGTGGGGGTGTGTGTGACTGTGTGTGTGTGGGGGTGTGTGTGGGGGTGTGTGTGACTGTGTGTGTGTGGGGGGGTGTGTGGGGGTGTCCCTCAGTCCCGGTCCTGTGGGTGTCGCGGGTAAGAAAACAGCCGTCTCAGATCAGCAAAGGTTTGCATTTTACTGATCATTTTTACAAACTCAAACGCATGGCTTCCCGTCATATATATACACACACACACACATGTATATATATATACACACACACACACGTGTATATACACACACACACACACATGTATATATATATACGCACACGTGTATATACACACACACACACGTGTATATACACACACACATGTATATATATATATATACACACACATGTATATATACACACACACACACATGTATATATATATACACACACACGTGTATATATACACACACACACGTGTGTATATATATATACACACAGTATATTTAAAAAAAAAGGCTCAAATGGCAAAGATTTGGAAGTTTGAATCCAGTGACCAGTCGGGGGGCGGCACCCAAACCAGGACAAGGGGAGAAGAGCGAGAGAGAGGGACGGGGGGTGGGGGGTGAGGGGTGGGGTGAGGGGGGTGGGGTCAGGGGGTGATGGGGTGGGGTCAGGGGGTGATGGGGTGGGGGGGGGGGGGGGTGCGGGGGCTGCTCGTCCTTTGCACACTTTATTAAAGGAAGTTCAGATAACATTGGTCCAGACGGGAGCTTTTCCAGATCTGTCCAAAGTCCAGAGAAGGAGCATCTCGGAAAAATGCACCTCACTCCTCTACTGGCCTGGTCACGTGGACACGGGGGCGGGTGGGGGGGGGAACAGGTCCACTGACTTACTGCCCACGACCCGCAAATTATCCCCCCCCACCCCCTTCCCCCATCGAGACGTTCCGTTCAGAGAAACGTCGCGCGGCTCGAAAGAGTCGACGTCAAAAGAAAACATAAAAAGTGCTCCTGGCAATTTGGGGGGGGGGGGGGGCAGGGGGGAGGGGGGGGGCAGGGGGGAGGGGGGTGAAAGCTGAAAGAATGGTTCGTGGGGGTTACTGGCAATGCAACACTTTGGTACGTCCTCCAGGCGTGAAAGGCGCTACACAAATGTAATTTGTTGTTGGTCGCATTGGATCCGTTGGGCTGGGAAAGCGGGAAAAGAGTGTGGGCGGACGGACCCTATGTGGAAGATGTCCCAAGATTCCCTAAGGGCTGGCGAATAAGGTACGGGAGTTTTATTGGGAGCAAGTCAGCTGAAACCTCCTTCCGCAGCCTCCAAGCGAGGAGTATTAGGGCTGAGAAACCGAGCTCTGTCCTGCAGGATTCAGGCGTGTAGCCGCATTAAGTAGAACTGCCACAATGGGAGGGTGTTTGGGGGAGTGGGAAGGGTGAGGGGGGGGGGTGACAATATATAAATATATTATATATATATACACACACACACAATCGCCGATTTATACATCGTTGGTCCCCCTTGAAGTGCCAGTCGGGTTGCAAGTATTCACGTCAGCCTAAAGGGAGAGAGAACACACACACACGCACTCTCACGCAGTCCAAATGGCGCTCCACCCCACAGTGTAACCCAGGCTCGGCACAGGGCCGGGTCCTGCCGCTCTCCTGAAGTCGGGCCAGTGAAACCGCATTATGGGTGTGAAGGAGGCAATAACAGGGCCTCCTTAAATAGTACTGAGCAAGGAACTAAAGTGAGTGGGTGGGGGGGGGGGGGGGAAGAGGGGAAGAGTACCTCAACTGAACACCATTCCATTTCTCATCGTCGTCACCCCCCCACCCCCTCTCTCTCTCTCCAGAAAAGCCAAAGGTTTTAAAAAAAAACAGGGCCAAGATTTCAATGTGTGGGAAAAGTGGAGCTTAACAAAAGGAGCTGAGCCACATGTGCCACACGTCACTGGGTAGAAGATGCGAACACGGCTTCAGCAAGTCGGGTCGTGAAGGTTTAGAAAGAGAGTATTCCAATGGACTCTACGGTATGAAGGTACATCTTCATTGCATTCCCCATGTGCAGGTAAATCAGTCACGTTTGTTCGTGTGTGTTTGTGTTCTCCTCCTAACAGTTCTAGAAAATTCGATGGAGAACGAGAGCTTGCATTTATATAGCGTCCTTCACGCCAGATGGCTTCTCAGAGTGCTTAACAGTGGCGGAGCCCGACCCTGAGACAGGGGGAGGTGGGGGGGGGGGGAAGATGACTGTAGGCACAGTCGAAGAGGAAGGTCTTCAAGAGCGAGCTGAAAATGGAGAGGGGGGGGGCGCAAGGCGGAGTGACTGAGGGAGAGAGTTCCACAGCTTTGGGGTGCAGTGGCTGGGTTCTGGGAAAGGTTTTTACTTCATTCACACTCACACACACTCACTCACACGCAGAGAGACAGAATACGGCGGCTTCATAAAGAGGTATCCCGCAGTTTGTCTCTCCCATTGCTAGTTTTCTTCAATTTGGTCACATTTTCCAGCAAACCCGACTCAGTCAATCTATTTGAGAAAATGCACTTTGTAAGTTAATAGTCCACGTTGTATGAGGTTCTCTCTCTCTCTCTTCCTC